CACCCAAAGCAGCCAAAAAGATCGCAACACGTCTTTGTTACAATTGGAATAAGGTTGTGTTTACAACTTTTGGACACTGGATGTCACGAACTATTTGACGCCGACTGTACACGACAGCACAGTTGTATTAGGGGTGTTATGCACCTCCCAGCTTACCTGAAGGAACCTTTAATTTTCTACGAATTTAGTCAATTCTGGACTGATTTTTGGAAAGAAACGAACACTTTCTGCCAGTCTTTGGCGAGTCATCTCCTCAATAATCAAGTTAACGCGGTTAACTAACTACATACAGGGTAGAAACAATAAGTGATCTCACTCCATTATTTCTAAACTAACATTTCGAAAAACTGGTTACTCATCCTGAAAATGCTTCACGAACTCTATCAAATGGTATTAATAAAATAGGTTACATAATAAATTGGATCTATCCAAAAATTCAATGTTTCCAGCTTCCATACTTTGCTTGGTGCTCCAGTCCCATTGGACCATGACAGAGATCTATTTGCGGTTCCCAAAATCTTTGTTACTACTACCTTCATGAGGGTATAAAGGACAACCCACATTATTAGAGAAGATAATCAAAAATATCTTTCAATCTACTGTAATGATCTATAGGATATGCCCATTCGATAATGCTATTGGATGATAATGGCTCTACCATTCGTATATCCTTACAATACAATGTTAAAGACAAAGGATTGCACGTGTGTATGTGTATGCCACGTGTGGTATTGTTTACCAAATAAAAACTGCTGGCGAGCTGGGCGTCTGCCACAAAACTGCCCGTGGGTATTTGAGATTTTATTACCAATTTGAAATTACAACATTTTTTTAGACATCTAAATTATGTGTTTATTGTTTACAGAGGAAAAAAATGAGATTCTTGTTTTTTTTATCCCCAACGATCTCACCTGATGGATAGCGATGATCAGGTCGCAGGTGGAAGCGAGCTTACCATAAATACCATATTAGTTTATAGCTTTCCAAAATTAGCAAAACTGGGAAGTTCTTCTTACGAATCCTTCTTGCCTAAGGATGAAATTTACCAATGGAATCAGGAGATGACACATGCTAAGTGTTTATATCAGTGCTTCCGCCCTTGGGAATTTCCAATATTTTTGCGACGACTCTGATGATACTCCTCTGACATTTGCATTTAGGTCTTAAAGCCAGACCAGCAGCAGCAGCGGCTATCATTTCCAACTACATCAGCGGTGTCCTAACGTGTCGACATTGTTCGCGCACGTTTACCAACAAGATTGGCTACTGTAGCCCATGTGTGGGCACATGATAGGGCAGCCCAGCGTAGCCCTCTTATTGCGGACTAAAGGAATTTTGTCGTAGTTACCGTAGCCGAAAGCAAAGAATGGAAGAAAATAAAGAAAATGGTGTACTAAATACTGTGCAGTATTTAACTGCACTTTAGCTAAATACGACGATACAGACGATATCGCGTGAAGTGAAGCAGTTAAAATTGAATGGAGAGGTGGGAGATCGATTTTGGTGGTATGCTTTGGTGTTCAAGCTTTCCGCAATGGATTCCATGGTGTACTAAATACTGTGCAGTATTTAGCTTAAATACTGCACAGTATTTAGTACACCATTTTCTTTATTTTCTTCCATCATACACAAGAATACGCGTGCGTGAGTCAATGTTCGCTCGTATGTGAGGCCTTGTCGAATAGTATCCTGTAGGTGGGCCATCGTGAGTGTTTTGTTTTCGATGTAATCTCGCGAAGATGAACAGGCCTGGTAGTACTAGTGTTTAAAGCATACCAATGGGGAATCCATTGCGGAAAGCTTGAACACCAAAGCATACCACCAAAATCGATCTCCCACCTCTCCATTCAATTTTAACTGCTTCACTTCACGCGATATCGTCGCGGGAACAGCCGTAATTTTACGGCGCGTTATCGAATCGGATCCGTTACGTTTTCGGCGCGCAGGTACCGTTGCGCGCGCGCACTGCAAGCCAATTAGACCGCTTTTGGGATAATAGGGTCAACGCTGTGCCGCTGCTGTGCGGTACGACAATACCATGTGGTGATATGCTATTTATGTCCTTAAAACAACACTACACACTTACACTACACAGACAGAAAAAGTGTATTTTTTATATTTTTTTTAGTCAGTTTAAATGTTTATTTTTTTTTACTCATTTTTTTTTCTAAGCCCCCGTGACCATTTTCTCGACCAACACCTCAAGAGAAATGGTGGTGGCTGGTAGTCCTTGGCGGCACATGCTGAGCCACCTCCATTCGCTTTTCTTTAAGTTATTTTAAGCTTCTAATAAAATTTTGTTTCTTGTAATTCCTTTTATGTGTAAAAAGCAATAAACTTTTATTTATTTATTTAAAAAAACTTTGGTTATTAATGGGATGACTTTTGGTGGCGACAACACGTCTGTTTAAATACTTTGTAACAGGTGTTGTTTTGCAACTGTAGTAGATAAACCTAGGCTTAAGAGATACTCTAACTAAGATGTTGTTTTGATAGAGATTATGTCAGAGAAAATTTTAATTTATTTTAAACAAGTTTCTGTCAATACAGTAGCCTGTGTACATGATAATATCTAGCTACGTGCGTTGCCTCACAAAAATAAATATTCGGCATTGTTGCGTGTGGATCTAACAGAGCTGAATTAAACCACTTCCACTCTTCCCGTGGATGTCAAAGAACGGGACTATTCCCACCGCTGCAACTCCTGTGTAGTGTGTAGCCAGGATCTACAGCTTGACCGCCAATAAAAACCCAACCAGTGAAGGTCAAGTTTGTCCCGGGGGAAAGTTACTGTCATGGATGTCAAAGAAGATTAATGGACAAATCTGACGAATGACTGGTTTCCTCAACCCTTCTCTTCGTGATGCAAGAATGTGTTGGGACTTGGGACGTGTACCTGTCTTAACTTGAATTACAGAGGGCTCAGTGTGAGTTTACATCAAGACAGTGTTTTCACTAGCGAGCGCGTTAAAAAAAAATGAAAATTTTGGTTCTTGAAAGTTTCCGCTAGGGGCGCTGTACAGTCTGTCATACATTTGATGTCACTTTTTTACGCAGTCACTAGTGAAAACGTTTAATGTAAACTCACACAAATGTCATACCTAGTGCGGGGACCAAACCCACGATCTTTGGCCAAGTTTATCACCACTGCGCCTTAGCGTTTTCGACGAAAATTATACTAACTAAATATTCATTGCAACGGCTTCGTCCATTGTATAATGTTATTATTACATATCATGAGAACGTTCTATTTACAATATCGAAGTAACAACAATAACAAGGTCAGCTCTAAAATTAAGCAAAGTTAACGTAGCATACAATAATATTTTTAGAAAGTAATGACGTTTTATATGTTCTGTAACGTAATTAACGTAACTATTAAAATTCTTGCGCGATTATTGCTTATTTTTACGCAGTATGTTGTTTAATTCTAGAGTTCCGTACTCAAAGGGGCTATGGAACCCTATTAGTATGCTGTTCTGTCTAGAACTAAAACCTTAACTTCGAACTCCAATGTTCTGATTAATTTCGTTGCGGGTCCAATGACAGTTTAACTTTCCTCGGGACAAACCTCACCTTCACTAGTTAGTTTTTATTAGCGGTCAAGCTGTAGATCCTGGCTACACAGGAGTTGCAGCGGTGTGAACGAGAGGTGGGAATAATCCCGTTTTGTTCTGTCTAGACTTACAGGTGAAACAATCTATTAAAATTTAAATTCTTTATTATATTATAGGCCCTTTTCAGGGCATTTATACTCGTCTCGTACATGTCCCAAATACAAGTATAGCTTGCCCTATCCACTTCAGGAGTTTCAGGACAACTCATCGGCTAATTAATAATGTGAATAATATAATTTATATCAGGACAAAGGTTTTTTAAGCAGAAGTTTTATTTAAAGAGAAGTGAAATTTTCTCCATCAGCGAATAAAACTCATTTAATTTATACTAAACTTTTTGTTCGGGTGTGTTCTCGCTATAAAGACTTTCTATACGATCGAAGCATTGTTCCAATAAATAAAAAGAAGACAAAATGTAGCTATAAAATATTTTCCCATACATATAAAAATGAAATAATTAACAATGCAATTATCGTAGAAGCACATAATCATACTGAAATTCTAACCGTAAAGACTAACGCCTGTATTCATAAACGATGCTTGCTTAAGTGAAGCAGTAAATCGAACGCACAGCGTTGAATAGAGCTCTGTGATTGGTTCATGTCACCCTGTGCGTCCACGCACACTGTGAGACCTCACTGTAATGTCTGTGAATTTGAAACAAAGGCGAGAAATCGCACCCTTTAATATGACGGCCAGGCGACCCCACTTGCAAACTGAATCAGCGAATTAACTTGACTGAATAAACGCGGTTCAGTGACCCGGCGGACGGACGACTTTAGTGATTAGTGTCCAAACAGGGCCGATCTTTAAATTATGACGGACATTTTTTTGTTGTTTAGATTTGGTTAGATTCTATGGGTGAGCGTTGACGTTTTAGGAAGGTAGAATAAATTGGAGTTGTATTAATCATCCATATTAAAACTTTGAAGAATATTAAACATATTTTTTTATTCAGGCCCACGACTTCCTTGCATGAATTTCCATCTGTTAGATAAACTTTTGTTCAAAAACACATTATTTCTTAGCAAGAGTTTGATATACATTTTTACATTTCCAACATACAGGTAGCTTCTTATACACGGTAAAAGTAACACAAGCCTAGTCTTCCAATGCTCCCAGCTTAGCCCCTAGACAAAGTTACAAACATGTCAGTTTAATTTCAAAATCTACTAGGGGCACTGGGGCATGTCACGTCTGTCTGTATCGAAACTTACTGACGAAGGCACATTAGCTAAATACTAACCTCTTATTTCGTTTTAAAAGGTGCTATTTTCTAATAAAAGTTAAGTTCGATCGAGTAAGAAGACTAAAATTTAGAGCTAGAACTTATGGCCCTCACCAAACTATGACTAACTTAACCATATTTTTCTTTCTTTCCAGGCCAAAAGGCTTAACGGCAACGGAGAGCTGGCCGCCATCAAGGTGATCAAGCTGGAGCCAGGCGATGACTTCGCCATCATCCAGCAGGAGATCCTGATGATGAAAGACTGCAGGCATCCAAACATCGTCGCGTACTATGGCTCCTACCTCAGAAGAGATAAGCTGTGGATCTCCATGGAGTATTGTGGAGGAGGCAGCTTGCAGGTACGTTTTAATCTATGGGTTTGACTTCATCATTCGGCAGGAGATCCTGAAAATGAAGGACTGCAGGCACCCGAACATCGTCGTGTACTATGGCTCCTACCTCAGAAGAGATAAGCTGTGGATCTCCATGGAGTACTGTGGAGGAGGCAGTTTGCAGGTACGGATTCAATCTATGGGTTTGACTTCGCTATATCCAGCAGGAAGTCCTGATGATGAAAGACTGCAGGCATCCGAACATAGTCGCGTACTATGGCTCCTACCTCAGAAGAGATAAGCTGTGGATCTCCATGGAGTAAGTATTGTGGAGGAGGCGGTTTGCAGGATTCGGGGATACTATAAATAAACGAGCTTCTGTCTACCTGGACCAAATTCAGTTATTTCACCTTCCTAACCCATCGGCCACCGTGGAAAGTGTAGGCCAAATCCTTTGTTTGCCTCTGATAAATAAAAGAGGTCGTATTCCAGCAAATGTTTAACCTTTTACTTTATTGGGTAGCCACTATGCACCTCGAAGATGTAACTTAGGCCTCTCATACGATGGAACGACGACCTAGGGAAGGTTGTGGGAAGCGCATGAATGCAAGCAGCGCAGGAAAATCTTTGGGGGAGACGTCTTCCGGCTGAGAAGAACTGTGTATGGCTGTGGGCTCTTTCAAATTAGACGTCTCTTTACCACCATACTTACTCTTTCTGCATGACCCGTGGTTGACTGGCAGAGAATGCCATCCGGCATTAAGTCCGCCACAGTGCATTGTTTCTTTGTTTGTTCTAAAGTTTAAATAAATAAATAAATAAAATACTTGACTTAAAATTTTCCGTGTACGGCTCAAAATTTTTTATTTGAAATGCCCTACATCCTTGAGGAATGCCTTTGTCCAGAAGTCTCTGTCTGTGCCGTTACATTATTTTTTTTTGTCTTTGGCATGTTGCAGGACATCTACCACGTCACCGGCCCGCTGACGGAGCTCCAGATAGCTTACATGTGCCGGGAGACGCTCACCGGCCTGTCGTACCTGCACAGTATGGGGAAGATGCATCGGTATGTCAAAACTAAAGGTCCAAGATGGGCTGCAGACTGCAACCGCAGGCTACACTGCGACTAGAGGCTGCAGTTGACCGCAGTGAAAAAGAAAATGTCAAAGGAACCAAGCCACCACGGCTTGCAGTTTGCGGTCTGCGGTCCATCTTGGATCGTCCATCAGTCAGTGCCTGAGGCGTGGGAGCGGCACGAAAAGGTGTTTTTGTGACGTCAAACTTTTTCATATTTGTATTCTCTGTCACGTCATATTTAATTAATTTTAATGTCACTCCTCCCGTGTCGCGCTCCCATACATTAACCAATGATTGAATTAAGCACTAGATCTATAGATTTCAATTCTATTGTCGGTTGTAGTCAACAAACACAAAATTCTTACGAGTTAATTTGGCTCTATCCTTTGTAATGTCCAAACTTTAAATTCTTTATAAGCAGGTAGGCCTTTTTCATTACACTTATACACGTCCCAATATAGCTTGCCCTACCAAAACTACGAAAACATAGTTAGTGCCGAGAAGTAGCGTAAGAAACTCGGAAAATTAATGAATGTTCTTTCTTTCTTTCTCGTTTTTACGTTTTTTTTTGTTGGAATTAGTATTAATTTAGCACAAGGCAATATATTCAAATTCACAAAATAAAAAAAATACAATCGAATTGAATATCTCCTCCTTTTTTGAACTCTGTTAAAAATTATGACGATTCACGCCACTCGATATCAAACTTCAAACAATAATGACCTCTATTCCAGTGACATCAAGGGCGCGAATATCCTGCTGACAGAGTGTGGGGACGTCAAACTGGCGGACTTCGGGGTGTCAGCCCAGATAACAGCCACTATCAACAAGAGGAAGTCCTTCATTGGAACTCCTTATTGGATGGCGCCGGAGGTAACAAACCCCTTCTAACTTACTAGTCAAAATTACTTGTATACTTGATTTATTAAGTAAGTTTTTTTACTAAACTTTTATCTGATGGTAGCAGAATTGATGCCACTATATTTTGAACTTTGGTGAGGTAACATTAGGTTCAAAACCAATGAAAAATGTTTTTCTCTATACTTAGAGAAAAACACTTTCTTTCACTTACTTAATAAATCAAGTATACAAGTAATTTTGATATACCAAATCTCACTCATATAATATTGAGACGAAGTTAACGACATCTCCCAAACTAAAATCCATCAAACCGTTTAGGCTACAGAGCAAAGAAAAACCATACCACGAAAGAAAAACATAACCCTCCTTCTGCCACAGTTGGTTACAAAGGTTTAATCTGTCGTTTAACTGGAAGTCGATGTCATACTTTCAACTCTTTATATTCTTCTGAATGAATATGTTGTGGGTTCATAATATCCTTTAAGGCTAAGACAATAGAGGACAGCCGAAAATTTGCCCTACCAGTTGTGTCAGATTTTAGTTGCACTTTTTGTTAATAAATTGTTACAAGCAAAAAAGTTTTCATTAATAAAGGAAATATTATTATTATTTCACAGGTAGCAGCGGTGGAGAGGAAAGGTGGTTACAATCAACTCTGTGATATTTGGGCGTGTGGCATAACTGCTATAGGTATGTTTTATGAATCTTTCCTATAACTGACTTTTCAAAACTTAAAATAACAATAGCCCAATAGTGTCGGTGTCGGACTGGCCGAATCCATTTATTTTTTGCAAGTAGGCTTTTAAATACATTTATTATTATCTTCTATTCTGTTCTATAGTCCGGTCGCCGAGCAAGTAAAATTTCGTCCAATGACCCCAAGCTACATCCTTATCGCTCGCGCGTAATTATATTGCTGTCGCGACTGTGCGACGGGCGCCCGCAGTGAGTGTGCGAGCACGACAGCAATATAATTACGCGCAAATTTTAAAAGGCACTTTTACGAGATCTGAGGAATGCGGGTTCGAATCTCGCCGCCTCGGCGCCGCTAGACTGTTGTGGTGAACTAACACACGTATATTTAGCTTAAGGCCGGGTAACAGAGAAAATGGCGAAAATGAGGTTTTCATTTTTCATTTTTGAGGTACTAAACAGTAAAATAAAAGGCTAAGATTTTTTTTGGGCATAGTTGAGGATATTTTCTAGGGCTATTAACGGATGGAAACACGATTTGATGAAGTTGACTCGATAGAATAAATTCCCAAAGTTACCTCTATTCATTTNGTCGGTCACCCATCCTGATATAGCCATGGCGAACGGTTCACGACAAATCCATAGGACGCCACTATCTGTCAGCTCATTTGTCTCAGTGTCTATAACTCGCGCGCCACCAAGCTTGATCGTCAGCAGTTCTGTAAGTGTCTATAGCTGATGGATGACTGCACAAGTCAGGTCGGTCACCCNTGTCAGTCAATTTGACAACCTTTGTCGGAAACATTATTCAATGAAAATATTGTCCGAACCGTTAGTATTTCTCTTCGACAAATACATTAACACATTGTGAACCACTTTTGTGGTTTTGTCACCTGTGAAGCAGTGCGGGTCAGTTGCAGCGCGGCTGAGGCACACTGAAAGCAGCGCAGTTTCAAAGCAGTTGCAACGCGGGCTGTTGTCAAAAATTTAAATATTCGAAAACCGCTTTCGACGCGCTGCTACCGCCCTGCGTCCGGTGTGTCATGCTAATATGGCCGCCATAGTAATATAACAGCGCGGGCCCGCGTTCGCGCAGCTTCTGTCCCGCACCCGCGCCGCTTCTGTCCCGCTCCCGTGCCGCCTCGTTTGTCGTTCGGCAGTTGCAGTGCGGCGCGGTTGGAGCGCGGGCCCGCGATCAAATTTGGTGTGACACACTTCAAAGAGTTTCTTGTATTACAACTTGCGCGGGCCCGCATTCAAGCTGCGCTGCTACTGCCCTGCGTTTGGTCTGTGGAGGCCTTTACCTTAGCCTTAGGGCGTCCGCGGAAGACCAGCTTCTTGACATGCCCTATCGAGCATGTCACAGTATTTCATTACCTATCATTTTTTGTCCTGTATCTACTTTTATAAAGCATTTTCTGTCTCAATAAAATTGTTTCTTTTCTATTTTAATCTTACCGCGAGGGGTTAACGGAACTTGATCGAGAATTAAAAAGAAAAGTTGAATTTGCGCAGACTGAAGATTTATTTAAACTGATTGTCCATCTTTTCAGAGCTAGCCGAACTCCAACCACCGATGTTCGAACTCCATCCAATGAGGGTGCTGTTCCTCATGTCGAAATCCGGCTTCAAGCCGCCGCAGCTGAAGGAGCGCGAGCGCTGGTCGCAGCTGTTCCACGCCTTCCTCAAGCTGGCGCTCACCAAGAACCCCAAGAAGCGGCCCACAGCCGACAAGCTGCTGCAGGTCGGTCACCCATCCTGATCCAGCCAAGGCGATAGGTGCTGCACTCATAATGAGAAACTCAAAGGACACCATGGTCTACTAACTAAGAATCCATTTCATCATCAACCAATTCAAGTGTCTATAGCTGATGAATGGAGCAGCATAAGGCTGACAAGCTTTTGCAGGTCGGTCACCCATCCTGCTACAGCCATGGAGACAGGTGCTGTACTTCTAACCCAAAGGACACCAGGATCTGTCAGCTCATTTGTCTCAGTGTCTATAGCTCGCGCGCCACCAAGCTTGATCGTCAGTTGTTCAGCTGTAAGTGTCTACTGATGGATGGAGGATAAGCTCTTGTTGGTCGGTCACCCATCCTGGTGCTGCACTACTAACCCAAAGGACGCTAAGATCCATCAACAAGTGTCTATAGCTGATGGAACAGCATACGCGTGACAAGCAATGTCTTTAGATACCCTTAGTGTCATGGCCATGTCCCTAGACACTCTTAGTGTCATGGCCATGTCCTTAGACACTCAGTGTCATGGCCATGTTCTTAGATACTCTCAGTGTTATGGCCATGTCCTTAGATACGCTCAGTGTCATGACCATGTCCTTAAATACTTTTAGACACACGCTCTCTCCTTTTCATCTACGTCACTTTAAGATCAGGGTAAGCAGTGCAAGCAAAATTAGACTTTACGTGCAGGTGTTTTAAAGCGATTCGGTTCCATTATCCTGTGACCTCTCCTTGTCATTTTGGTCAAGGTCAGGGTAAGCAGTGTAAACAAAGTGAGACTACGTACAAGCGACTCGGTTCCATTGTCCCGTGAGCCTCAAGGTCATAAGCAGTGCAAGCAAAATGCGACTCTACGTGCAGGTGCTTTAAAGTTCAGTTCCATTGTCCCGTGAGCCTCGCGTCAAGTCGGGCTTCAAGCCGCCGCCGCTGAAGGAGCGCGAGCGCTGGTCGCAGCTGTTCCACGCCTTCCTCAAGCTGGCGCTCACCAAGAACCCCAAGAAGCGGCCCACAGCCGACAAGCTGCTGCAGGTCGGTCACCCATCCTGATATAGCCATAGTGGTAGATGCTGCGCGCGGCGTTACTAACCCAAAAGACGCCAAGATCCATCAACCCATTTCCAGCTGATGGATGGTCAGCTATAGACACTGAGTAGCATAAGGCTGACAAGTTCTTGCCGGCAGGCTGTAGATCCTGGCTGCACAGGAGTTGCCACGGTGGGAACGAGAGGTGGGAATAGTCTTGTAGGTCGGTCACCCATCCTGGTGCTGCACTACTAACCCAAAGGACGTTACGATTTAACAACTAGTTTCAAGTGTCTTAGCTGATGGAACAGCATAAGCAACGTCCTTAGATACGCTCAGTGTCATGGCCATGTCTTTAGATACTCTCAGTGTCATGACCATGACCTTAGATACGCTCAGTGCTTTCTCCTTTTCATCTACGTCACTTTAAGATCAGGGTAAGCAGCGCAAGCAAAATTAGACTTTACGTGCAGGTGTTTTAAAGCGATTCGGTTCCATTAGGTATCCTGTCACCTCTCCTTTTNCTTTTCATTAAAAGTATCAGATGTCGTCTAACAACACGTTATGTTGTCGAGGCTCACAACTTAAATAGTGCCCTAGTACTATTCATTCCAACGGCTTCGTCCATTGTATAATGTTATTATTACATATCATGAGAACGTTCTATTTACAATATCGAAATAACAACAATAACAAGGTCAACTCTAAAATTAAGCAAAGTTAACGTAGCATACAATAATATTTTTAGAAAGTAATGACGTTTTTATATTATTATGTTATGTAACGTAATTAACGTAACTATTAAAATTCTTGCGCGATTATTGCTTATTGTTACGCAGTATGTTGTTTAATTCTAGAGTTCCGTACTCAAAGGGGCTATGGAACCCTATTAGTATGTTGTTCTGTCTACATATAAAAATGAAATAATTAACAATGCAATTATCGTAGAAGCACACAATCATACTGAAATTCTGACTTTAAAGACTAACGCCCGTATTCATAAAATAGAGCTCTGTGACTGGTTCGTGTGTCACCCTGTGCGTCCACGCAGACTGTGAGACCTCACTGTAATGTCTGTGAATTTGAAACAAAGGCGAGAAATCACACCCTTTATATATGACGGCCAGGCGACCCCACTTGCAAACTGAATCAGCGAATTAACTTGACAGAATAAACGCGGTTCAGTGACCCGGCGGACGGACGACTTTAGTGATTAGTGTCCAAACACAGCCGATCTTTAAATTATGACGGATATTTTTTTGTTGTTTAGATTTGGTTAGGTTCTATGGGTGATCGTTGACGTTTTAGGAAGGTAGAATAAATTGGAGTTGTATTAATCGTCCATATTAAAACTTTGAAGAATATTAAACATAACATTTTACTCTGGCTTCGGCCCACGGGCACGGTTTCGCTCGTGTCAATTTCCATCTGTTGATAAACTTTTGTTCAAAAATACATTGTTTCTTAGCAAGAGTCAATTTAGCTATACAGCTATACACAGATATTATACAGCGAAAATATCTGCCTATACAGCTGCTGATACACCACAAGCCTAGTCTTCCAATGCTCCAAACTTAGACCTCCTAGACAGAGTTACAAACATGTCAGTTTAATTTCAAAATCTACCTGGGCAGGTCACGTCTGTCTGTATCGAAACTTACTGACGAAGGCATATTTAGCTAAACACTAGCCTCTAATTTCGTTTTAAAAGGTGCTATTTTCTAAGTTAAGTTCGATCTAGTAAGAAGACTAAAATTTAGAGCTAGAACTTATGGCGCTCACCAAACTATGACTAACTTAACCATCTTTTTCTTTCTTTCCAGGCCAAAAGGCTTAACGGCAACGGAGAGCTGGCCGCCATCAAGGTGATCAAGCTGGAACCAGGCGATGACTTCGCCATCATCCAGCAGGAAATCCTGATGATGAAGGACTGCAGGCACCCAAACATCGTCGCGTACTATGGCTCCTACCTCAGAAGAGATAAGCTGTGGATCTCCATGGAGTATTGTGGAGGGGGTAGCTTGCAGGTATGGTTTACTTCGACCTATGAGTTTCCATTGGGTCGGTTAAATTGCCTTTGATAAATCAGAGAGGGTCCACCTGAGAATCTGTCCACTTGCTATAGGTAGAGGTCGTGTCGTGCTCCTGCAATGGAGACTTAAAGTGGCACCCATGTTTTAACAACCTTTTTTGGGGTTTGAAAAGATAATCTTTCTTGAGTGGCCAACTGGCTATGCATCTCGAAGATCTAACGCAGGCTGGCCTCCCACTCAAATCAATGGAATGACGACCAAGAAAAGGTTGCGGGGAGTATCGTCTCGTCAGTTGTGTAAATCTTTAAAGGAGACTTTATCTAGTTGTGGACGTTTTCCGGCTAAGAAGAACCGTCTGTGTATGCCTGTAGGCTCTTTCCAATTAGACGGCTCTTTTCCATCATACTTGACATAAAATTTTCCGTGTGCGGTCTTGCAAACGGATGACTCAAAATGTCTGCTTTGAAATCCCTACATCCACGAGGAATGCCTTTGTCCAGCAGTCTCTGTCTATGCTGGGCGTCTCTCACATTACTTGCATCGTCTCTCACATTAATTTATTTGTATCCTTGGCATGTTGCAGGACATCTACCACGTCACCGGACCCCTGACGGAGGTTCAGATAGCTTACATGTGCCGGGAGACGCTCACCGGCCTCTCGTACCTGCACAGTATGGGGAAGATGCATCGGTGAGGATTTCAAAACTTATAAACCTCATTTTGGTAAAAGCACTTTTACACGTGGTTGACGATCTGGTAAAGGTCGCGGGCGGCGCAGGACCGGACTTTGTGGAAGTCCTTGGGGGAGGCCTTTGTCCAGCGTTGGACGTCTTTCGGCTGAAACGAACGAACTTTTACACGTCCCAGTATTAACCCTACCACTGCTTCGGGACAATAAATGGGTCAGTGCTGAGAAGAAGCAGCGCAAGAAACTCAGTCACTATTGTCAGCCTCTTTTTCAAGGGTTTACAGTCTTTATGGAAACTAATGTGAAATGTAACAACAAAACAGAAACATTTACACGTTTAGCGCTTTACTTAGTCAGTACCTGAGATTGGGAGCGGCAGAGAAAGGTGTTTTTGTAACGTCAAACATCAGCGACACTTCAGATTTATATGCTCTGTCACGTCATATTATGTCAAAATCCCTCCCGTGCCGCTCCCATATCTCAGGCACTGATTGGGTATGGGATATACCCATTTACCTAACACCCTGTATAGATTCTATCTCAATTCTGTTCTCAATGTAGTCAAATAATTCAATATTCTTACGATTCAAATTGGATCTATCCTTTAATGTCCCAAATAAAAATTATTTATTCGTATGTAAGCCCTTTTTAGAGCACTAATCCATGTCCCAATAAAGCTTGCCCCACCAAAACTTCGGGAAAACATAGTTAGTGTCGAAAAGTGGCGTAAGAAACTCAGTAAATTATTGAATGTTCTTTCTTTCTCGTTTTTATGTTTTTTAGGGTTCCGTACCTCAAAAGGAAAAAATTATAATAAAAATAAACTTTTTTAAAAACAAGCTTTTATTCTGAATTTCGAAAGTTTGTATCGCGCATGGAATTTATTCCTCTTTTTCTCTGTTTGCGCTACAAGCTTTCGAAATTCAGAATAAAAGCTTGTTTTTAAAAAAGTTTATTTTTATTATAATTTTATTTTACACTTTTAAGTTACCCATATCTTAATCTCAGGACCCTGGACGTTATCTAACACTAAAGTGCTCGAAAAGACAAATCCAACGAACCCAAACTCGATGAGTTTCCGCCGTTTTGTTTAGGAGTTCCTATGGCCACCTCCCGACTCCATCATCAGACCAGCTCAATGGTACCATAATATTGCATTGTCATCGGGAAAAATTGCGAAAATGATAAATTTGAAGTTATATAAAATTTAAAATATTATTTTTGCTTACATGACATAAAATATTTTTTTAATAATTATAAACTTACTACCTACCCTTTTTCACATGAACGCGTAGAGATATTAAAGTTGAAATTCATATCAAACACTTCTTAAATCTAATTGCCTCTAAACTGTGAGAAATTCTAAATCAACGCAAAAATTCAAAACGCTGAGGTAGGTACCTACCTATAATGCAAATATAGGAAAAATAAATAAATAAAAAATAATCATACCGCATATTTTGAAATTCGCCACTACTCGCAACGGAATCAAGTAAGTAATTTGATTTAATACGTCATAAATTGTAAACCGCTACGTTTGTACGGCGGAACCCTCGGTGTGCGAGCCCGACTCGCACTTGGCCGGTTTTTTTTTGTTGGAATAGTATTAATTTAGCACAAGGCAATATATTCAAATTCACAAAATAAAAAAAATACAATCGAATTGAATATCTCCTCCTTTTTTGAACTCTGTTAAAAATTATGACGATTCCCGCCACTCGATATCAAACTTCAAACAATAATGACCTCTATTCCAGTGACATCAAGGGCGCGAATATCCTGCTGACGGAGTGCGGGGACGTCAAACTGGCGGACTTCGGGGTGTCAGCTCAGATTACGGCCACCATCAACAAGAGGAAGTCCTTTATTGGCACTCCATATTGGATGGCGCCGGAGGTAACAAACTCTTCGAAAACATAACCCTCGCTTCTGGAGCAGTCGGTTTAAAAACTTTATCAACTCGGAAAGGGAGCGTAACCGTATCAACTCGAGTCGGTCAGTATTCTTTGTATGAAACTCCATACTTCAACACACACAACATCCGCACCGTAAAGTAAACGCCTCGCCTCGCAATAGACAGCGCGCGAAAGGCAATGACAGCTCGAGGAAGGCGATACGTGTTTAATGTTTATCCCTTTCCGAGTTGATCTTGATATGTCTGCTATGACCTTTTGGATCTAGTTCACCATTTCTGAGTAGTGTCACTAGTGGCAATTTTATCATCGTCTACGGAATCGGAAAGATTTTGTTTTGAACTTAAGAGTTTAACAGATTAAAAACGCTCAATTGATCAGCTGTAAGCGGAAAACTGCAAAGGGACGTTTACACTTGTCAAAAGTTGAACTTTATTTATAAGTTCTCGTATAATTTTACAGGTGGCAGCGGTGGAGAGGAAAGGTGGTTACAATCAACTCTGTGATATTTGGGCGTGTGGCATAACTGCTATAGGTATGTTTTAATAAGACTTCCATAAAATTAACTTCCCAAAACTTAAAGTGTCAATAGCCCAGTGGTGTCGATGTCGGACTAGCTGAATTCATTTATTTTTTGCAAGTAGGCTTTTAAATACATTTATTATTATCTTCTATTCTATAGTCCTGTCGCCGAGCACGTAGAATTTCGTCCAATGACCCCAAGCTACATCCTTATCGCTCGCGCGTAATTGTATTGCTGTCGCGACTATGCGACGGGCGGCCGCAGTGAGTGTGCGAGCGCGACAGCAATATAATTACGCGCGAACTTTAAAAGGCTGGACTATTGTGGTGAAGTAACACACGCATATTTAGCTTACCTTAGGGCGTCCGCGGAAGACCAGCTTCTTGACATGCCCTTTCGAGCATGTCATGATAAATGTTGAGCTGAAGTCTATTGGCACAGTTTTTTATTATCATTTTTGTCCTGTACCTACTTTTATAAAGGTTTTTCTGTGTCAATAAAATTATTTCTTTTCTAATCTGCGAGGGTTTAACGGAACTTAATCGGGGGGTTTCCTTTTTAAATTGAATTTGCCCAGACTGAAGAATGAAATGGCAGATTTATTTAAACTGATTGTCCATCTTTCCAGAGCTAGCCGAACTGCAGCCACCGATGTTCGAACTCCATCCAATGAGGGTGCTGTTCCTCATGTCGAAGTCCGGCTTCAAGCCGCCGCAGCTGAAGGAGCGTGAGCGCTGGTCGCAGCTGTTCCACGCCTTCCTCAAACTGGCGCTCACCAAGAACCCCAAGAAGCGGCCCACAGCCGACAAGCTGCTGCAGGTCGGTCACCCATCCTGCTGCAGCCGCCAAGATAGGTGCTGCACTCAGCAGCCACATACGAAGACACGACCTACGTGATATAGCGATCCATCAGCATATTTCTAGTGTCTAAACTTGTATAGCTAATTGAGCAGCTGCTGCAGTTCGGTCACCCATCCTGCTGCAGCCACGGACAAAGGTGTTGCACTAACAACCCAAAGGACGCCAGGATCTGTCAGCTCATTTGTCTGTGTCTATAGCTCGCGCGCCACCAAGCTTGATCGTCAGTTGTTCAGCTGTAAGTGTGTATAGCTGACAAGCTGCTGCAAGTCGGTCACCCATCCTGATATAGCCATGGCGAACGGTTCACGACAAATCCATAGGACGCCACGATCTGTCAGCTCATTTGTCTCAGTGTCTATAGCTCGCGCGCCACCAAGCTTGATCGTCAGTTGTTCAGCTGTAAGTGTCTACTGATGGATGGAGCTGCACAAGTCAGGTCGGTCACCCATCCAGGTACAGCCACACAGACTCACCATACGAGACTAAACACAAAGCATGCTACGATCTAACAACTTGTTTCAAGTGTCTTAGCTGACGGAACAGCATACGCGTGACAAGCGATGTCTTTAGATACTCTCAGTGTCATGGCCATGTCTTTAGATACTCTTAGTGTCATGGCCATGTCCTTAGACACTCAGTGTCATGGCCATGTCCTTAGACACTCTGTGTCATGGCCATGTCCTTAGACACTCAGTGTCATGGCCATGTCCTTAGACACTCAGTGTCATGGCCATGTCCTTAGACACTCAGTGTCATGGCCATGTCCTTAGACACTCAGTGTCATGGCCATGTCCTTAGACACTCAGTGTCATGGCCATGTCCTTAGACACTCAGTGTCATGGCCATGTCCTTAGACACTCAGTGTCATGGCCATGTCCTTAGACACTCAGTGTCATGGCCATGTCCTTAGACACTCAGTGTCATGGCCATGTCCTTAGACACTCAGTGTCATGGCCATGTCCTTAGACACTCAGTGTCATGGCCATGTCCTTAGACACTCAGTGTCATGGCCATGTCCTTAGACACTCAGTGTCATGGCCATGTCCTTAGACACTCAGTGTCATGGCCATGTCCTTAGACACTCAGTGTCATGGCCATGTCCTTAGACACTCAGTGTCATGGCCATGTCCTTAGACACTCAGTGTCATGGCCATGTCCTTAGACACTCAGTGTCATGGCCATGTCCTTAGACACTCAGTGTCATGGCCATGTCCTTAGACACTCAGTGTCATGGCCATGTCCTTAGACACTCAGTGTCATGGCCATGTCCTTAGACACTCAGTGTCATGGCCATGTCCTTAGACACTCACATATTTAACAAAAAAAATTTCTAACTAATTTTTTAACATATTTAAGTCAAGTTATACGTTTTTCTAAATGTTCACTATTAAAAACCAAAAAACATTTCATTCTTAAACAATCAAACATCGGAAATCAATCACCGGTAATTTTTTGGGTATTCATAGCACCGTTGCTCTAGAAGAGATGCCCACCGCCCTCTAGCGAGAGGAAAAAACCACTGAAGAACACTGATGATAATGACTACGACTTAGGTTGTACACCCTTGACATGAATTTTAAATTTTACTGTCTTTAAATTTAAATAATAATTGTCATTTTTATGAATAAAGATATGAAGAAAAATTGGGTGCATTTTTTTATATCATTTTTTCGAAAACTTATCGATACATCTATGTGAACCGTATGAAACATACCCATCACTAGTCACATTCGTTTGACAGCCGTCATTCTAATCAAGCTATATTGGATAGACTATAATACAGAGATAGCGCCATCTCTTGGTCGTTAAGAGAAGCTTTCACAGTATCATTCTGTCTAGATTAATGACTCAAGGAATGGTCAATCCAGCAGAGTACAGAAGTGTCTTTCTGCCCGCATACAGACACGGTTAGTCTAGTTACCTCAGTCATAAGGTCGACAAAAGGTAGTGATATACTAATTATGTTGCTGTCACGCTCGCACACTCACTGCGGTCGCGCGTCGCACAGTCGCGACAGCAATATAATTACGCGCGAGCGATAAGGTTGGGCAGCTTGGGGTCATTGGACAAAATTCTACGTGCTCACGGACCAGGCTTTAGACACTAGGCGTCACGTGATGACGTCACACGGGCCGCGGCCGCCGTGTGTTAGCCGACCAAGCGGCGGCTCGGCCCACGACGCGTCCGCGCAGCTTGCTGCCAGAGAGAGACGTGTCTGGAGACGCATCCGCTGTGGCTAGGACTGCCAGACTTCCTGATGAGGGTAGGTAGAGAAAACACACACACATGAAAGCAATTATAGTCTGGTCGCCGAGCACGTAGAATTTTGTCCAATGACTCCAAGCTACCCATCCTTATCGCTCGCGCGTAATTATATTGCTGTCGCGACTGTGCGACGGGCGCCCGCAGTGAGTGTGCGAGCGCGACAGCAACATAATTACGCGCGAGCGATAAGGATGGGTAGCTTGGGGTAAAATTCTACGTGCTCGGAGACCGGGCTTTACGAGGTTAAATCGATCTTAGAGTACCTTATGAGGCTAAGCAACATAGTAAACCCCCACACTATTAAAACAACGACAAAAACATGTAGCGTGGACAAATATACTCGGGTAGGTAGCCAGGTGATCAATAATAGCTAGCTGACTGTGAAACACTAGATAAGTAGTAATTTAGTTACCCTCCCCCCCTAATAAAGCATCGCAAACTTCACGTCATCTCGTCACCGCGACCTAATGTACAGACAGCGCCATCTCTCGGTCACAAGTCAGAAAATAGAGAACAATCAATTATCTGTCAGATTCAGATGGCGAGGCCCACGCATCTCGTCCTCATCTAATATACAGACAGTGCCATCTCTCGGTCTTAAGTCACAAGATAGAGGATAGGTAGTGATCTACTAGACACTAGACGTCACGTGATGACGTCACGTGGCCCACGACGCGCCCGCGCAGCTTGCTGCCAGAGAGAGACGTGTCTGGAGATGCACCCGCTGTGGCTAGGACCGCTAGGCTGCCTGATGAGGGTAAGTAACTAAGAATTAACCTTTCCCCCTTCATTAAAGCAATGACAAATGACTCTAGCATAGCCCGAAGGTTGAACGACTGCCTGACGAGAGTAAGTAGCTAAAACACACACCAATAAAACTAAGAAAAACACCGCAACACCGGTGTAGTAGGCAAATGTACTCGCAAGTCGCTAGCTGATGATGGTAAGTAGGTAGCTGACTGTAAAACACTAGCCAAGTAGACTGTGTGCGTCCTGAATTGCTAGATAAGTAGCTACTTAGCAATCCTCTTATAAAAGCATCAACAAATAATACGTCATCTTGTCTCTTAGACCTAATTTACAGACAGCGCCATCTCTCGGTCACACGTCAGAAGATAGAGAACATTCAGTTATCTGTCAGATGAAGCGCTGGCGAAGCCCAAGCATCTCGTTTCCGCAATCTAAAATCAAAATTAAAAATATTTATTCAGTTTAGACCACAAGTGGCACTTATGAAAGTCAAATATAGCAAGCAATAAAAAGAAAAAGTAGCCCTTATGGGGCACTTTACAGGTCTCCTTATCTATTACTTAGCGCCCTACCAGCGCTTCGAGACAAACATATGGCAAGTGCTGAGAAGTTGGCGCTGTCTCTAATATACAGACAGCGCCAACGACAAATTATATGGAGTTTTAGTTGTGTATACTACTATAGTCTACTTATATTATATTAGAGGACCTAGATTATAGGTCCTTCTCACCCAAGCACTTGATTCACTATATGGATAGGATCTTTGCGGATGAGGGGAGATAAAGGTATAGGGAAGCACAAAAGACCCCACTGGGTCGATGTGCACTGCGCCCATGCGTGGCCCTAAATAAGACAAGATAAGATAGTCTACTTATTGTTACAGGTCGCGTCAGCTCCCGGTACGACGACTCGCCGATCATAGACCTGGACGCGGAAGACGACCTGTCCCGCCAGAATCTGTTCCCGGGACTACCTGCCCGGACCACCAATGTGGGAGACACGGTCAAACGAAACGGTGAGAACAAATATGTACTTTTGTGCCAAAAAGTCGCTCGAGTGGCGTCCACGAGCCGGAAACGGGACTCCTAACATCTTGTTCCCACCGCTGCAACTCCTGTGTAGCCAGGATCTACAGCTTGACCGCCAATAACCCAACCAGTGATGGCTAAGTTTGTCCCGGGGGAAAGTTAAACTGTCATTGTTTCCGCAACAAAATTATTCAGAATAACATAAGAGGAGTTCGAAGTTAAGGTGTACAGCGGATAACAGGAAACAAAACCGGTTTCGCAACCTTTGAAAAGATATTATGCACCACGGACAGTAAGACCGTATCAATTATAGGGACCTAACAAGATTTGTGGAAGAAAACCTCCTTCCTGCAACCTATAAAGGTCCTTATAAAAGGCCTTGTGGGAATATATTTTATACAATAAACAGAGACAAAACATTTTAGTGCTTTCGTTTCAACAAGGCACTATTGATTTAGTATGAATCGTAAAACACGCGTCTCCCACACTGATGTTAGAATGTGGCCTCAGTCGTATAAAATACTTGTTATGAAATCTAGTACAGCGTATTCTCCGCCATAGGATAGAATATATTGAGAATGGGTATGTCAACTTTTTTGACATACCCATTCTTATTCGTTTTTGCAAGAAATTATCTGAATATATGGCGACTTTCTGCCGGTTCACCCAGTAATTATAAAACATAATTCAACTGAAAAAGAGATCAAAATACTTATTTTTCTCTTACAGTGTACCATAGACAATCGAGCGAAGACTGGAGCGTAGCGTCCCTAATGAGTTGTCCCAAGCACAACCCACTGCAGGACCTCGCAACAGATACGATGCCATCTAGCGAAAAGTGAGTGAACTATCACGTTTGTAGTTTATATGGCTTTTTATATTTATGTCTTTAGTTGTTTTACCTTTCCTTTGGTTGGTGGTGAGAAGACGGTTATGAGAAATGAGTGGTGCCTATTTGATTTTGGAACTTATTGACTTGTATAAAGATCCAAAAGAAAACTCAAATTCATAGCTTGTTGTGTCCCTTTAAGGCCCAGAACAGACGGTGAAACGAATCTGCAACGCTAGTTACTTTTGAGTTGCATCTAAGTTTCTGCCATAGCGTCCGTTGAGAGACCACACATGACGCGACCAGTTTGAAACTTTCAGTTTCATTCATCAGAATCATTACAAAGTTGCAGTTTCATTGCAGTTGCGTTTCACCGTCTATTCTGGGCCTAACAGTTCGACTTTTAAGCATAGATATTTCAAAAAACACACACGTTAATATTGTTTGGAATATTTTAATTGTGGTCACTCAACTCAAATTTTATTTGAAATTAACTAGCTCCTGATTGAAAATAAATCTTCATGGTTCTTCATAAAATATTCTACTGACTTTAATCAATAAAAAACTAGAGCCAGGTAGACTCTAGGCTTTGCCTAATCAGCCATATGCACAGTACTTTCCTGCCTCAATTCCTATTTATAGGACTCTCCAAGGGTCACTACTATGTCTCAATTTTTTTATACTAAAAATAAATCAACTCAATTTTCAAACGTCTTCTCATCACCAACCTATAGTGCCATTTATTTATGTAACCGTCTTATTTATTTATTTGATATTTATCATTATTGTGTTATAGCAAGTGGTGTCGGGTGATCACTGGGGATGATATTATGAGAATGTCTCTGAGGTATTTTATTTGGAAACTTTAAGTTGATAAATTCAAAATTTTTTCAACGATTTGAGTTAACAAACATTTTGGCGCTGAAGCTTTTTGTTCTAACAACGTGTTATTTTTATTTCTTGATTATTTTTTTCAAAATTGTGTGCGTTTTTTTTTGGTGGAGGATTTTTATTTGTTTTTAGATGTAGATTCTTTTTTGAATATTTTTATTATAGTGTGTATGGTATTGTAAATGATATGTGGAGTGTCAATATGATTGCACATTTGTGATTAGTATAGTCACATTGACTTTTTTATGTTGGCAATACAAAGATGCAATCTGGTGGTAAGATGTGGAGTTAACGGAAGCTCGTGTTCTATCTAGCTTTGAGAAGTTCAAACTCAAGTTTAAGCGACAATAAACTAACGGTTTAGATATCGGACTACAGATTTGAAAGTAGGACGCTAGTTCGATTCCCGTTGGCAAGTTAGTAGATTATTGTAATGACCCCGCCCCTTAGACCGATATTAATTTGAGTTTTTTAGGATGGCGGAAATATTACTATACTATAGCCCGGTCTGTGAGCACGTAGAATTTTGTCCAATGACCCCAAGCTACCCATCCTTATCGTTCGTGAGTAATTATATTGCTGTCGCGACTGTGCGACTGGCACCCGCAGTGAGTGTGCGAGCGCGATAGCAACATAATTACGCGCGAGCGATAAGGATGGGAAGCTTGGGGTCATTGGACAAAATTCTACGTGCTCACGGACCGGGCTTTAGAAATATTTAATTCAACCAATCATAGCTTGGTATCAATCCTTCTTTATATTCTCAGCTAACTTTGGAAATAAAACTCATTTTGTTTTATTCATAAATGAGTGAATGGGACAAACTTATACCAAAGAATATTTGATTTAGTTATATTTTTTTTGCTATATTCAACTATATCCAACTTCCACATTTAACCACCAGGGGCGCTCGCATCTTTACATTGTCAATATTATGTGCATGTATAAAAAAACGCGATTTTGTCTGTTTGGCTTCTTTTTTTGGCCATTAAATGTGAACAAACATTGGTGAATAAAGGTAAGATTGTACGCGAACTTTGAAAATATTAGCGAATAATAAATAAGCTTTGATGTGATATTGTCATTGAGTTTTAGATGTAAATGCGGTCTGAAGTTGCATTAAAATATTATTTCTGATTTTTTAATGTGGGTTAACCCATCTAAATTTTTATCAAACGATTTAAGCTTTATGCTTAAGAAATTAAGTTCAAATTCCAATGTATTTTAAAACCTTTAAAAGATGATTTGTTCTTAAGAGCGTTGTCACATTTTTCATGCAGAAATTGTAAATTTGTCAGATTTCGAAATGATTTTAGTCATATAATTTATTGTTATAGCTTCTTTTGACTTATATCATCGTAATTATCATACGTTTTTACGGAATGTCTATTGACAAAATCTCGTTCAAATTGGATTTTTTCCTACGAAAACAGCGAATTTTGAAAGCCCGATTTCCAGGTAACTCGCGAAGGCACAACTTTGAACTAATATTATAACAAATTTATTTCTAAGTAAGAAGATAGAATGCATTCATTAGAATAAGCATACCCTGAAGAAGAAAGTGTATTGAGAAAATTTTGATGTTTAATTCATTAAAATGCATTTTTATCATGTCTAAGATAGTCAAAATTCGAGAAAATTACAGCAAGAAAACAGGTCACATCTCATAATCTAAAAGTCATTTGGCAACATAAACTACTTTAAACTTAAGAAGAAACATAGTACTATTATTGTGTGAAAAAGAAAAAATATCTNATAAACAAGCTTTTGATGCTGTAAAAAGAATAAAATAAAACATAAATTCTTTCTAACCCATCAACTTATTACTTTACTCAATTTAAAGATTAAAAACTTGTCGCGGGATTTACTAGTGTAAAAATACATTAATTACGTAACTTGATTTTGCTAAAAGTCTGATCTGAGAAAAAATCAAATAGGTAAATTATACATTATTTCTTTATTATTATGTATGATGTACTGTCTTAGGTACGATACAACTACGGATTAAGATCGTTTAGTCGACGCAGCGTTGAAATTGTACAGATAAATGCAGTTTGCGCACTCACTACGCGACGTCAAGCAATAAAAACCTAAAATTCGAACGCCAACTTTTTGCTACAACGCTCTTAAATAGACTAAGTATTTGAATCTTTTATAAGGCACTAATGGCTGGTTTACACGTATTAAGTAGTTAAGTAGGTAACTAAATTTTAACTTAATTTTAAGTGATGAAATTGCATCGTAACTAAATTTTAACTTAATTCCAAACGTCAAGCTCTTGTTTACTATGAAACTGATTGTCAAACGAGTGTCAAGTGACAAGCCACGCCCACCAACTTGACAGAAAAATCAAGTAAAAATTTAGTTATCTACTTAACACGTGTAAATCAGCCTTAAGAGTATAGTAACAAGCTTATTTTGAACTCTATCTACTTGTTTTAAAGTCAAGAATAAACTGATGAAATATGGATTCCATAATATCGCAATGATGACAAGGACAACTGCTGTTCTAACTCAAACTCGTCAAATAACTTCAGACCGTATTCCTACACACATTAGGTCTACAGTGCGGTGTGCGGCACTTTGTAAGCTGTCTCTGTTTGTTTTAGGAGCCTCTTGCAATATATTGACGAAGAATTAATGCTAAGGTAAACATATAAGAGGGACAATACATTGCATGTACAGTTTGTGTGTAGAACGCTTTGTATGTATGGTGTTGCCATAGTAAAATTGCAAATTGTACCAAAAAATCAATTGCCAGATCAAAAAATACTAACTGGTACTTTCGTTTGGGAAATATTTAGTACTTTTTCTGGTAATTGCGTGTCGAACAACTACGCTAAAGGTTGCACCTGCAGTACACCTATACCCGCACGAGACAAGTATCATTTCTAGGTGTTTTCTATGTAAATATTTGTAAATGTATAAGATTTTTAAATGTATCTAAAAAATCAAAAGCTTTAAACTACGTTTCTCAGTTGTCTGGTAATCATAAAAGCAAAGTTTGCGAATTGGCGATATTAAAAACACTCGGTATATTTATTTGTAGCAACACTACGAAAATCTATTTTTAATATTGGTATAATTTTTATTTATTATGGCAACACAACTGTACTAGTCCTGTTCGGAATAAAATTGGTTTGTTTGGTTTTTTACTTTTTTGTATCGGCTTAGTTACCATAGAAAAAATAGTAAATTAATTTTATATAATTTTTGTAATTGGTAATATTAAACTGTAGGTAAATAAAGAAGGTTTATTGGAAAATACATTCTTTGTTATAATAAATTAACCCTTTAAAATATTGTATATTATTTAGGTATTTGTTTAGTTTTGTTTATTCCGAACAGTGTATTTTTAAGATTATGTACATGTTTGATATAATTTAAATGGTTTTGCGTAGATGTATTTTTATTTTTGCCCAATCCTAAACCGTATTTCATGTGAAAAATACAATCACATGACATGTGGTTTCATAGCATGTGGCATGGATTATTTTTTTGTTATTTAAATAAGCTTAGCAATAAATAAAAAAGATTATAAAAATGTGTAGAAATGAAAGTAATATAACACAAATAATATTATATTTTTAAACCCTTTTACGTATTTTGAAGGTATTACGTTCCACCAGCACCACTTGTTATTTAACTAAAATAAATAAATAACCAGCTTGATTTTAAAATAACATGAAATAAAACGTATCTAACAGCACAACCCCTGGCTTAAAAATAACAGCACTGCATCCAACGACGCAGCTTCTACTAAAACCGCCGAAAAAATACCAAATTGGTAACTTTATTTTTTTAACAGGGCAACACTGCCGCTTACGGCTGACACCGCGGCGATGGCGCAAGCTGGCAACCCCGGGCTGTCAACGCACATACACGACCAGCACCTCTCACAATGCATTCAATTGAAGCAAAACTTCCTTAACAACTCCACCACGAATATCTATCAAAATCTAGCGTCGAATTTCCAAAGTCCTATAGGAGCTTCTAGAGTGTCAATCGACGATCCTTTATGTAGGAAAATGGGGGAGACAGACATCATGTATGTTGATCAACCGGAGAGTGACGCAATCGTCGACTCGCCACAGATTAGGAACGCGAATTGCGAGTGTGGTCTATGCCCAAAACCAGAGCCAAGAGACGACAACACGCTAAGCGACTTACAGAGATCTGTGGCGTCCAAATGCTCCTGCGACGCTTGCAATTCTAATGGAGATATACTTAGTTACTACCGCAACTGTTCTAAGCAAACCTCCGACTCGGGGATCGTGCACTGTGATATTTGTAAAAAGCAAAAGATATCCGTGTCCAACTTCAGAGCGCTACAAATAGCGAATCGTTTACGCATAGCTGACGATAAGTTAGAAAACGGCGGTCAATCGGACGACGATTTGTGTAGGAAAATAGATATGAGTTTAGATATGGACGATAAGAATTATGAGCATAGAAAGAGGCATAATAGGCATAATTCTGATTCAGTGACAGCTGGTATAGACTTGAGTCAATTCTGTCAGTGCGAGTTGGAAAATAATAAACGGAAAACGTCGTCTGTGGACGAGATATTCAATATGGTGGATGAGGAGAAGGCTAAGAAAGAGTTGAGTGAAGAGGAGATGAAGGTCAGCCAAAGACAGAGGAGTCTGTCGGATAGTCAGAGGGACAAGGCGAAAGTGGAGAATAAAGGTATGTGGAAATCTTTAAGCAATATGGTAATTTGTGGTTTCTTTATTACTTGATTATAAATGTAAGTTTTTGCCGTTTGAAGAGGATATTCGTTTTTGGTCCTTTTTTATATTTTATCACGTAAAGAGACGAGATATTTTATCACGAAGGGAACATCATTTTATCGGTCTCATTAAGACTGACTGCCGAGACATTAGACATAATATAACTATTATTCGAGGCTCACCGGTGAGCCGCGTGGCGTACAACGTTTTAAACGATAATTATGTTGAAATGATACATATTCATTCAGTCCAGAACTGAATATCTAATGAAACACAGGTCATCACCTTGACACGCAAGTCAAGCAAAACACTGTGGCATCATTTAGTTGAAATAGGGGCCATTTTTCAACCAAATGTTATAGTCAGTACAAAGAAATACGTACCGTATTACCGTATACACGCTCACCAAGCTCCACTTTCCGGTGGACATGACGAACTCCGTACAATGAAATATCTACCCTATTCCAAGCTAACTAAGCCCCACATTCCAGTGGACGTGTCGGGCAACGGCGTGGCATTACTTTTCAAGTTGTATAGTTTGTCTGATGTCTGTACAAAGAAATCCTTACCCTATTGCCCACTCACCAAGCTCCACATTCCAGTGGACGTGTCGGGCAACAGCGCGGGGCTACTTTTTAAGAAAATTGTAGTATGAGCGAATTTCTAACAAAATAGAATGGTGTATATTGTCTGGTCAAAGAAATACCTACCCTATTACTCGCTCACCAAGCCCCACATTCCAGTGGACGTATCGGGAAGCGGCGCGGCATTACTTTTTAAGTTGTATAGTTTGTCTGATGTCTGTACAATGAAATCTCAACCCTATTGCCCACTCACCAAGCTCCACATTCCAGTGGACGTGTCGAACAGCGCGGCGCCGGTGGTGCCCCCGCGAAGGGGGCGGGGCCGGCGCGCGCACACGCCCCCACGCCCCGCCCCCAACGGGTTGCCGCCCACGCCCAAGGTGCATATGGGGGCTTGCTTCTCCAAGGTACGTACTATGAATAGCTGGGAATATCCTTCTATAAGCCGTGTGGTGACGGCAGAGTAGAATACATTTGTCACCAACCCCTACTCTTCCCGCGGGTGTCGTAAGAGGCGACTTAGGGACTACACAACAAATAGAGAATGGGCAGCAGCGCTCTCTGAAAAACATCAATCTTTTAAACTGCGATCTCCAACCCGCCTGCCAAGCGTGGAGATTATGGCAAAACCCTCCACTATTGTGGAGGAGGCTCATAGTCCAGCAGTGGACTGTAAAGGGCTGTTGATGATGATGATCCTTCTATATGTGGGCAGGCCTCCTACTAGGTGGACCGACGATCTGGTAAAGGTCGCGGGAAGAGCCTGGATGCGGGCAGCGCAGGACCGTTCAATGTGGAAAACCTTGGGGGAGGCCTTTGTCCAGCAGTGGACGTCATTTGGCTGAAACGACGATCCTTCTATAGTCTGGTCCGTGAGCACGTAGAATTTTGTCCAATGACCCCAAGCTGCCCATCCTTATCGCTCGCGCGTAATTATATTGCTGTCGCGACTGTGCGACGCGCGCCCGCAGTGAGTGTGCGAGCGCGACAGCAACATAATTACGCGCGAGCGATAAGGATGGGTAGCTTGGGGTCATTGGACAAAATTCTACGTGCTCACGGACCAGGCTTTACAGAAAACAAAAAAGGGAATAAATAATCACTAAAGAAGAGGCACAATTTAGACAGAGGTCACAAAGGCAAAAAGTCATAACTTTTTTGATTTTATTAGGCTTTTCAATCTCGCTTTTAACCTTCCCAGTATAATTTTGACTCTAACACTACTTAAAAAAATGGGCAAGCAAGATTGGCAGATAGTAGTTGACATCTCAAATGATAAGTCCCTGTAATTTATTATTATGCCACTTTTGTCCCTTGTGTATGTCTCATTTTTAAAATTGCTTAATAACATTCATTCATCTGTCCCCGTTGTGCGACAGACGGTAGTCGATGTTCAAAGCAATTTGGTCTTCTATTTGATTCTAATAAATATTTACGGTAATATTATTTACGCCTTCAGGTATTCAACGGCTGCCCGCTCAGGATAAACTGTACAGCCTCCTGGATACATCCCGACACGAGGGATCAACACATACTCATTGGTGAGTGCTTACAAACAAAAAAAAATACTTTAAGGGATATTTTTCAAACGTCGGATATCTAATATCCAAAGAAAAAAATTGACACTGTCATATTTCCCATACAGAAACTGTCAACAGGCCAATTTTATTTTGAGACTCACTGCTGCCGCCGGTCGCACAATCGCGACAGCATTATAATTACGCGCGAGCGATAAGGATAGGTAGCTTGGGGTCATTGTACGAAATTCTACGTACTCAGCGACCAGACTTTACACAGGAGTTGCAGCTGTGGGAACGAGTGGTGGGAATAGCCCCGTAGTCTGATGAGCTCTCTGTTTTTAATCCTACTTTTGGTACTTTCTGTTTGTAAAGGTAATAAACGTTATATCTATCTATTATCCATTCCCAGGTGCTGAAGAAGGCATCTATACTCTGAACCTCAACGAACTCCACGAGACGGCGATGGACCAGCTGTGTCCGCGGCGCACCATCTGGCTGCACGTCATCAAGGATGTTCTCATGTCCTTATCCGGTAAGTGACGTGACGTCACTCGTGTGACGTCATCAAAACAAATGAGACTAGACTTATGTAGATGACAGAACAGATACTTGACTCGCTTAGATGACGAAATTGAGACTAGACAAATAAGACTACTCATGTATGTGACACATTTACATAGACTCGTGTAGGTAGCACAGACTAGGTCTGGCTGCATGTCATCAAGGATGTGCTCATGTCCTTGACAGATACAGTCAGCGTTATAGTTTTCTCTAGCGTTCTAGTCTTTCTTTTATTGTAATAAGGTTGTGTTATCAACTTTTTGGCCACTTTCGGTGTCACGAACTATTTGACGCTGACTGTACGTCTCGTGACGTCACTCATGTGACGTATTTACACGTCTGAGAGCTGCACCCATGACATAACTGGGGCTAGACTTTTGTAGATGAAACAATTGATGCTAGACTCGTGTAGATGACTGTGATGTACTACTACACAAATAAAGAGTGTGCGCTATGTCAATACTGGCTAGTAAGGGGTCAGTCGTAGTCGGGCCGCCACACAGGACGGATGTCAGTGCTTGCACTAGCTTACACAGTGAACATATACCAGTGTTTTATTTGAGACATCACAATGACACAACTGACAGAGACTTGACTCGTTTAAATGACAGTTTTAAGACAGACTCATGTAGACGACAGAAAACAGTTGAATCTCTATACATAATAGCCTTCAGTTTAAAGAGCTATGTGGCATACCTTATCCCTGTCCCTCGTCGTTTCAGCCAAATGACGTCCACTGCTGGACAAAGGCCTCCCCCAAGGTTTTCCATAATGAGCGGTCCTGCGCTCCTGCATCCTGGAACTTTTACTAGATCATTGGATTCATGTCCCTAGCATTAAATATTAATAGGTATTTTCCATCAACAGGCAAGACACCCTCCTTATACCGGCACGAGCTCCTAGCGTTAATCGGAAGCGCGCGCGGCGGTCGTTCGCTACGGGTCTTACCGCCCAGGCTGTTACCTCGTCGCTTCGCTCTGACTACTCGCGTGCCGGATACTAGAGGTAGGTGTTACTTAAGTTAGAGGTGCGTGTTACCAAATCCAGAGGTGGATGTTACCAAACTAGAGTGGGATTTTACCAAACTAAAGGTAGGCGTTACCAAACGGAGCTCCTAGCGTTGGTCGGACGGAAGCGCGCGCGGCGGCCGCTCGCTACGGGTGCTACCACCCAGGCTGTTACCCCGTCGATTTGCTCTCACTACCCGCGTGCCAGACACTAGAGGTAGGTGTGACTGAAGCTAGGCACCTCTAGCTTTAACGTTACCTAACTAGAGGGTGATGTTACTTACCAAACAAGAGGTAGGTGTGACTTAAACCAGAGGTGCGTGTAACCAAATTAGAGGGGGATGTTATCAAACTAGAGGTGTGCGTTCCAACGCCAGAAATGGGTGTTATTGACACTAGAAATAGGTGAACCTGACACTAGAGGTAGACCACACTGGACCTTATTGACAATGAGGGAAGAGTGTCAACAGGCAAGACACCCTTCCTATACCGGCACGAGCTTCTAGCGTTGATCGGAAGCGCGCGCGGCGGCCGCTCGGGTGCTACCACCCAGGCTGCTGCCCCGTCGGTTTGCGCTAACTACCCGCGTGCCAGACACTAGAGGTAGGTGTTACTTAAACTAAATACAAATACAAAATTATTTATTGTGAATCATAGGTAAAATGGTGACATGTTACAGTAGGTAGTATCATCATCATCATCATAGTAACTAGAGGTGGACGTTACCAAACTAGAGGTAGGTGTGTCTTAAAACAGAGGTGCGTGTTACCAAATCAAGAGGTGGACGTTACCAAAATAAAGATACGCGTTACTTAACTAGAAGTGAGCGTTACCAACACCAGACGTGGGTGTTATTAACATTAGAAGTAGGTAAACTTTATTCTAGAGGTAGACCACACTGTACCTTATTGGCAATGAGGGAAAAGTGTCAACAGGCAAGACACCCTCCCTATACCGGCACGAGTTCCTAGCGTTGATCGGAAGCGCACGCGGCGGCCGCTCGCTACGGGTGCTACCACCCAGGCTGTTACCCCGTCGATTTGCGCTGACTACCCGCGTGCCAGACACTAGAGGTAGGTGTTACTTAAAGTAGAGGTGCGCGTTACCAAATTAGAGGGGGATGTTACCAAACTAGAGGGGGATGTTATCAAAACTAGAGGGTTATGTTACCAAACTAGAGGTGGGCGTTACCAAACTAGAGACGAGCGTTACCAACGCCAGAAATGGGTGTTATTGACACTAGAAATAGGTGAACCTGACACTAGAGGTAGACCACACTGGACCTTATTGGCAATCATATCATATCATATCATAATCATGTATTGCTTCATAAGTGTACATAGGGGTACATGAGGGAAGAGTGTCAACAGGCAAGACACCCTCCCTATATCGGCACGAGCTTCTAGCGTTGATCGGAAGCGCGCGCGGCGGCCGCTCGCTACGGGTGCTACCGCCCAGGCTGTTACCCCGTCGATTTGCTCTCACTACCCGCGTGCCAGACACTAGAGGTAGGTGTTACTTAAAGTAGAGGTGGGTGTTACCAAACTAGAGGTGGGTGGTACCAAACGGTGCTCCTAGTGTTGATCGGAAGCGCGCGCGGTGGCCGCTCGCTACGGGTGCTACCACCCAGGCTGTTACCCCGTCGCTTTGCTCTCACCACACGCGTGCCAGACACTAGAGGTAGGTTTTACTTTTAGTAGAGGTGGGTGTTACCTAACTAGAGGAGCGCGTTACCAAACGGAGCTTGATTAGGGTTGATTGCAAGAGCGCGTGGCGGCCGCTGGCTACGGGTGCTACCACCCAGGCTGTTGCCCCGTCGATTTGCTCTCACTACCCGCGTGCCAGACACTAGAGGTAGGTGTGACTGAAGCTAGGCACCTCTAGCTTTAACGTTACCTAACTAGAGGGTGATGTTACTTACCAAACAAGAGGTAGGTGTGACTTAAAACAGAGGTGCGTGTTACCAAATCCAGAGGTGGATGTTACCAAACTAGAGGGGAATGTTACGAATACCAGAGGTGGGTGTTACCAAACGGAGCTCCTAGCGTTGATCGGAAGCGCGCGCGGCGGCCGCTCGCTACGGGTGCTACCACCTAGGCTGTTACCCCGTCGATTTGCGCTCACCACACGCGTGCCGGATACCAGAGGTAGGTGTTACTTAAGCTAGAGGTGCGCGTTACTAACACCAGATAATATAGACGTTACCAATACCAGAGGCGATTGTTACCAATACCAGAGACTAGAGATGGGCGTTACCAACACCAGAGGTGAGCGTTACCAACACCAGAGGTGAACGTTACTAACACTAGAAACAGGTGAACCTGACACTAGAAGTAGGTGATCCTGACATTAGAGGTAGGTGTTATCGACACTCAGGTCGAAATCGCAGCGACAAGAAAAAAACCTTTATGAATGTTTTTTCTCTAGACAGCTGCCACAAAAGTTTGCGCTCAGGACGCATACGAGAAGATATTTGTGTTCTTACCAATGTTTGCGAAAGTCTAAATAGACTAGGAGCTAGTGAATTGGCAGCTACACGCAAAAGATTGTCTGGCAAGGAGTTGGAACTGTCAAAACTATCTGGCTGATGAGGAAACAACTTCTAATCATTGCCCAAATATTATACATAAAAATCAGCTATTATGGTATAACGTAAGTAGAATTACAGTCTATTGTATATACAGCAATAGCCACTGTAAACGTAACGTAGCCTGTTACGTCTGCCAAAGCCACGATGACCCAAACTTCATAATGCACCAACATTCTTACCTATATTGGGAGCATACGCTGACAAACTATCAGCTTTTATAAAATGACGTAGGTCTGGCGTTCACTAGCTCTTAGTCTAAAAGGTCATTGTCATACTTATATCTATTGTTTACACAAAGAACTTATATTGTTTCAGGCTGTGTGAGATGTGCGGTGGCGAGGAACCCATACAACGGCTACAAATACCTGTGCGGGGCCACTCCGGCTGGACTGTTCTTGATGCAGTGGTACGACCCGCTACGGAAGTTTATGCTGCTCAAGGTTGGTATAATGAAAATATTGACTAATGCAATACTTTTTATTACAGTCAAATGAGAATGTTACAAGGTATGCAAAATCACTTGAATCCTATGTTACAGTTAAGCTTTTACATTTACAAATACATTAGTTTTTATTTCATTCAAAAATACCCAGTAGTTATGATTTTATAGGCATTCAAAGTTCGCTTAAATATTGAGTCCCGCCGATNGTGGGTTCTACCCTAAGGGGGCTATCTATTCACGAGAGGGGGGGCTATCTGGGATGAGGGGTGTAATCTGGGGGGGGGGGGGGGGTCTGGCTTAGGGAGTCGTAATCTGGCTGCCTTAGGGGGAGGCAGTCTAGCTTCGAGCGGCGTTTGTTTTGAGTTTGAGTACCCGTTGCTATGCGTCGGTGCCACCAGGAGCCCTGTGCGCCTGCACCTGCTCAACATTAACTCCGGTCAGTTTGGAGAATGTATCCTAAGGGAGGGAGAAAAATACTCTAAAGGGGGTAGAAAAGTACCCTAAAGGGGGGAGAAAACTACCCTAAAAGGGTGCAATCATGCTAAGAGGGGGCAATCTTCACAAAGGGGGGAATCTACCTTGAGGGGGACGATTTACCCTAAAAGGGGCAATTTACCCTAAGGGTAGGCAATCTACCTTTAGGGGGGAATAATCAACCAGCGCTGGTAGGGTAAAAAAATTATGAGATATGTAGAGGCTCCTTAAGAGCAAAATGACGATTTGTAAGAACTATTTATTAGTCTAAACGAATCAAGAAATTTTGACTTTGACTTTGACTTTGAACCGTAGGCGGGCAAGTCAGTGTCAGTGCGTCCTGTCATCCCCGCTTGCCGCCTTCGACAGTTCAATCTGTCTTTGAGTTGTCATTATTTACTTTATAAATAATGAATGTAATTTTTGTCAACAGGAGCGACGTGGTTCCACTCTGACGAGTTAGAAGCTTGCGTGGGAAGTTCCAACACGGTCATCCCGCGCGCCGAAAGACTACACACTTTAAGAGCGGTGCATCAGTTGAATAAGGATGCTGTAAGTTAATTATTATGACTTTTGAGCTAGGAAGGGCAGCTTGGTGAAGAGGGCTCTAGTTAATCTGTTCCTGGAAGATTTCAGAAGAGCCTTTTTGTCCGCAGGGGTCTAAAGGGCACTTCTAAATTCTCAACTTTTGTGTTTTTTTACGTAAAATAATTATTTTAGTCGACACTTTTTGATAAATTAATTATCTGTGGTATGCAATAAAGAGTTGTCTATCTTATCTACAGGGTGTTAGGTAAATGGGTATATGAGCCGACACTAGCCCATGTTAACATGGGCATATAAATGGTATGGTGAAGTCAGAAATTTGATATCATCATTTTAATTTTTTTAATTTTCATAGAAAATAAATTTTATAAAATCCGATTTGTATGAAAATTAAAATATTTAAAATGAAGATATCAATTTTCTGACTTCACCATACCATTTATATGCCCATGTTAACATGGGCTAGTGTCGGCTCATATACCAGTGTTTTATTTGAGACATCACAATGACACAACTGACAGAGACTTGACTCGTTTAAGTGACACGGGACGGACGTCAGTGCTTGCACTAGCTTACACAGTGAACATATACCAGTGTTTTATTTGAGACATCACAATGACACAACTGACAGAGACTTGACTCGTTTAAGTGACACGGGACGGACGTCAGTGCTTGCACTAGCTTACACAGTGAACATATACCAGTGTTTTATTTGAGACATCACAATGACACAACTGACAGAGACTTGACTCGTTTAAGTGACACGGGACGGACGTCAGTGCTTGCACTAGCTTACACAGTGAACATATACCAGTGTTTTATTTGAGACATCACAATGACACAACTGACAGAGACTTGACTCGTTTAAGTGACACGGGACGGACGTCAGTGCTTGCACTAGCTTACACAGTGAACATATACCAGTGTTTTATTTGAGACATCACAATGACACAACTGACAGAGACTTGACTCGTTTAAGTGACACGGGACGGACGTCAGTGCTTGCACTAGCTTACACAGTGAACATATACCAGTGTTTTATTTGAGACATCACAATGACACAACTGACAGAGACTTGACTCGTTTAAGTGACACGGGACGGACGTCAGTGCTTGCACTAGCTTACACAGTGAACATATACCAGTGTTTTATTTGAGACATCACAATGACACAACTGACAGAGACTTGACTCGTTTAAGTGACACGGGACGGACGTCAGTGCTTGCACTAGCTTACACAGTGAACATATACCAGTGTTTTATTTGAGACATCACAATGACACAACTGACAGAGACTTGACTCGTTTAAGTGACACGGGACGGACGTCAGTGCTTGCACTAGCTTACACAGTGAACATATACCAGTGTTTTATTTGAGACATCACAATGACACAACTGACAGAGACTTGACTCGTTTAAGTGACACGGGACGGACGTCAGTGCTTGCACTAGCTTACACAGTGAACATATACCAGTGTTTTATTTGAGACATCACAATGACACAACTGACAGAGACTTGACTCGTTTAAGTGACACGGGACGGACGTCAGTGCTTGCACTAGCTTACACAGTGAACATATACCAGTGTTTTATTTGAGACATCACAATGACACAACTGACAGAGACTTGACTCGTTTAAGTGACACGGGACGGACGTCAGTGCTTGCACTAGCTTACACAGTGTACATATACCAGTGTTTTATTTGAGACATCACAATGACACAACTTACAGAGACTTGACTCGTTTATATGACAGTTTTAAGACAGACTCATGTAGACGACAGAAAACAGTTGAATCTCTATACATAATAGCCTTCAGTTTAAAGAGCTATGTGGCATACCTTATCCCTGTCCGTCGTCGTTTCAGCCAAATGACGTCCACTGCTGGACAAAGGCCTCCCCCAAGGTTTTCCATAATGAGCGGTCCTGCGCTCCCTGCATCCTGGAACTTTTACCAGATCATTGGATCCCTGTCCCTAGCATTAAATATTAATAGGTATTTTCCATCAACAGGCAAGACACCCTCCCTATACCGGCACGAGCTCTTAGCATTGATCGGAAGCGCGCGCGGCGGCCGCTCGCTACGGGTGCTACCACCCAGGCTGTTACCCCGTCGATTTGCTCTCACTACCCGCGTGCCAGACACTAGAGGTAGGTGTTACTTAAAGTAGAGGTGAGCGTTACTAAAATAGAGGTAGGTGTGACTTAAAACAGAGGTGCGTGTTACCAATACCAGAGACTAGAGATGGGCGTTACCAAAACCAGAGGTGAGAGTTACAAACACCAGAGGTGAGAGTTACAACACCAGAGGTGGGCGTTACCAACACCAGAAGTGAACGTTACTAATACTAGAAACAGGTGAACCTAACACTAAAGTTCGGTGTTACCGATGAGGTTGAAATTGTAGCGACAAGAAAAAAAACTTTAGAATGTTTCTCTAAACAGCTGCCACAAAAGTTTGCGCTCAGGACGCATACGAGAAGATATTTGTGTTCTTACCAATGTTTGCGAAATGTACACACGGCCACACTGTTAACTATCCATTTCCGTTTTTGCTCTCGCTCTAATCAAATGGTGATTCTTTGCGACAGAACGAGATGACATGACTGGCAATGGGCAGTTAACACTGTTGCTGATAGTACAAAGGACATTGTCATACTTATATCTATTGTTCACACAAAGAACTATGTTGTTTTAGGGTGTGTGAGATGTGCGGTGGCTAGAAACCCATACAACGGCTACAAATACCTGTGCGGGGCCACGCCGGCTGGACTGTTTTTGATGCAGTGGTACGACCCACTACGGAAGTTTATGCTGCTCAAGGTTGGTATAACGAAAATATTGACTAATGCAATACTTTTTATTAGAGTCAATTGATGATATTAAGGCTTAAGGCTGCCGCGACACAAGCACAGCTTAGTGCAGCAGCAGCGGCTGCAAAAAAATTACAGTCTGTTTATCTAGCGAGATAAACAAACTGTAATTTTTTTGTTGGCAAATAAAATACTTTACTTTACTTTATATAAAACATATCTTCGCGCGGAATTGACTGTGCCTGCCTCAAACATGGTGGTGACGTCACGCCACCTACTCACGTGTCATGTTTTTAGCGCACTGCACTTAAAAATTACTTTTGTCAATAAAGTTGATGTTATTTAACTAGTTGTCTAGTTACATTTAAACTGTGCACATGCGCAAATGATATAATAGCTTTATAATGCCAGTTTGCTGTACGATATTCAGCCTTAATAGGTCAATACTCAATACTCAATACGTTTATTGCTTCCATAATAGTAATATAGGTGTTACAATGTGATAATACAGGTCAGGGGTTATTCCTTGATTGTACTCCGTTAAAGTGGCGTGACGTCACACTCTGAGCTGTTCTGCTTTAGCAACTTTAAGGCTGTATAACTTCTGAATTTGTAGAGATATTTTCATGATTCTTTCACACTTAGTTTAATTTTACTTATATTTTCAAAGATTAATAGAATAAAATTGGAAACTGCTGTGGTGTTAGGTAACCAATGGAAGCGCTTTGTAAAAGCTAAGCTATTGCGCACTGCCTTATGTTTTTATACTGTTTCTTCACAGAATATCGAGTGTGTCCTGCCGTCTCCATTAGCGGCCTTCGAGCTGATCATCACGCCGGAGCTGGAATACCCGCTGCTATGCGTCGGTGCCACCAGGAGCCCTGTGCGCTTGCACCTGCTCAACATCAACTCCGGTCAGTTTGAAGAATGTATCCTAAGGGGGGGAGTAATGTACCCTGGTAGGGATAGAAAAGTACTCTAAAGGGGGGAGAAAACTACCCTGAAGGAGGTGAAAACTAACCTGAAGGGGGAAGAAAACTTCCCTGAAGAGGGAGAAATGTACCGTAAGGGGGGGAGAAAATACCCTAAAAGGGGGAGAAAATACCTTAAAGGGGGAAGAAATTATCCTGAAGGGGAAGAAAATACCCTAAAGGGGGGGAGAAAGTACCCTAAAGGGGGTAGTAAATTACCCCGAAGGGAGCAGAAAACTACCCTAAAGGGGGGAAGAAATTACCCTGAAGGGGGGAGAAAACTGCCCTGAAGGGGGTAGAACACTACTCTAAAGGGGGTAGAAAACTATCCTAAAGGGGGTAGNGATGGGGGGGGGGGGGTAATCAGGGGGGGGGGATCTGACTTAGGGAGTAGTAATCTGGCTGACTTAGGGGGAGGCAGTCTAGCTTCGAGCGTAGTTTGGCCTCGAGTGTGTCCTGCCGTCTCCATTAGCCGCCTTCGAGCTGATCATCACGCCGGAGCTGGAGTATCCGCTGCTATGCGTCGGCGCCACCAGGAGCCCTGTGCGCCTGCACCTGCTCAACTTCAACTCCGGTCAGTTTGGAGAATGTATCCTAAGGGGGGAGAAAAGTACTCGAAAGGGGGTAGAAATCTGCCCTGAAAGGGGAGAAAAATGCCCTGAAGGGGGGAGAAAACTGCCTTGAAGGGACTAGAAATCTGCCCTGAAGAGGGAGGAAATGTACCCTAAAGGGGGGAGAAAATACCCTAAAGGGGGGAGAAAACTTCCCTGAAGGGGGTAGAAAACTAAGAGAAGAGAAATCAACAATAATTGGTTAACAGTTAACCGTAGGGGGGTAAAGGGATAATTCTACCCTAAATGGAAATTCTACCCTAAGGGGGGAGGGGGAAGGATCTACTCTACAGAAGGCAATCTACCCTAAGGAGGGATCTACCCTCGGGAGGGATCACTACCCAAAGAGGGGTCTATCTATCCTAAGAGAAGAGGCAATCTTAAATCTACCCTAGGAGGGGGGGTCAATTTACCCTAAGTAGGCAATAAGCCCTGCAGGTGTGTTCTGCCCTAAGGGGGGAATCTATTCCTAGGGAGCAGTCTATCCTAAGGGGGCGGAGCAATATAGGTATATTTCGCGAAGTTGGCATTTCGAGAAGTTGGCATTCTGCGAAGTTGTATTTTTGCGAACGATTGGCGTTTTGAGAAGTTGGCATTCTGAGCATAAACAAGCCTAAGAGGAGGGGGCAATCTAGTCTCAGGGAGGCAATTTGTCCCACTAAACATGCGCTTTATTAACTTTGTCTGTACTAGTGCTCATAAAATTCTATCTATCAAAAATAGATAATGAATGTAATTTTTGTCAACAGGAGCGACGTGGTTCCACTCTGACGAGTTAGAAGCTTGCGTGGGCAGTTCCAATACGGTCATCCCGCGCGCTGAAAGACTACACACTTTAAGAGCAGTACATCAGTTGAATAAGGATGCTGTGAGTGAATTAGTTTAAAGAATAGAATGTACTAGCTTTTGACCGCGGCTTTGTCTGCGCGGTTCTTTCTGCAAACGTTGAAAGCGATGCATCAGTTGAACAAGGATGCTGTAAGTGCTTTAGTTTGACTTTTGAGCTAGGAAGGGCAGCTTGGTGAAGAGGGCTCTAGTTAATCTGTTCCTGGAAGATTTCAGAAGAGCCTTTTTGTCCGCAGGGGTCTAAAGGGCACTTCTAAATTCTCAACTTTTGTGTTTTTTTACGTAAAATAATTATTTTAGTCGACACTTTTTGATAAATTAATTATCTGTGGTATGCAATAAAGAGTTGTCTATCTTATCTATACATGTATATTGTCCGGTTTTATATTTCTGTATCAAAAATTTTCACACTTCAAACGAGTTAGAACGGCCATATGATTCATATGTGTTAATTTTTTAATTATTAAAGTATTTTTATCCACAAACAGAGAAGCTCTGAAGGCGAAGCATCTTATCTTCTTATACATGGTGTTAGGTAAATGGGTATATGAGCCGACACTAGCCCATGTTAACATGGGCATATACATATAAATGGTATGGTGAAGTCAGAAATTTGATATCATCATTTTAATTTTTATTTTTTAAATTTCCATAGAAAATAAATTTTATAAAATCCGATTTGTATGAAAATTAAAATAATTAAAATGAAGATATCAATTTTCTGACTTCACCATACCATTTATAGCCTGACCAGGAACATAAAAACCCTGGCATAGAGGCGCGTCAATTGCATTTGATAGTGCAACACTGAGTACAGTCGTACCTGTGTTAAATTAATAGGCTAACTTTATGTTTCAGGATTCAGGATTACGGGCTAATTTGATATTTTCATAAATTAACGAAAAAATATTATTATAGGTAACCTGGTTTAAATAAATTAAATGAAACCATCAATCGAACTAGTAGGATTTATTTTATTATTCATCAATAATCAAATTCAGAACTTGAATATTCAACTGCAATGTCTGCTCATGAACGCTTCAAACTCGGTACTTCTTTCCCAATTCCATAAAATTCAACTTTTAGAAAGTGACAAAAAACTTTAAAATAGGTAGTTGAAACAAACCACAGCTAATTTTCATAGTGGACTATACTATACGATAAACATGTCAGTCAATTTGACAACCTTTATTGGAAACATTTTCAATGAAAATATTGTCTGAACCCTTGGCATTTCTCTTCGACAAATACTTTAACACATTGTGAACCACTTTTCTTTCACGACTATAAAAAGATTTTAGCAATTTCATTCACAAAATCTGCGCACATTTAAAATAAAGTTTGTTTACACTTTGACAGCAATAGACTGACATGCAAGGTGACATGTCAATGAAGTTTTTAGTTACTGTTGCCATTAAAATAAATTAGTACCATTAGTTTTCCGCAACATGGCGAGGGTTTTTATGTTCCTGGTCAGGCTATATATGCCCATGTTAACATGGGCTAGTGTCGGCTCACATACCCATTTACCTAACATTTATCTTCCATCAGAAAATGATCAGAGGTGGAATTGTGTAAAGCAATCGTAATCATTTGACAGTTCATAACGTACAATTATTCTGTCAAACGCTTTGTTTAACTGACTTTATCCTACGTTATGAACTGTCAAATGATTACGATTGCTTTACACAATTCCACCTCAGGTTGAAGGTGAAAAATAGAGGAACCTTTACGTGTTTTTTGTTTCCCAGGTGCTAGTATGCCACGAGAACGTAGTGGACATAATCCCAGTGCTGCCGCCGTCGTTGGAGTCCCGCTGGCGCGACGACGACCGCCGCCGGAACAAGCTAGTCTCGCGCATACAGTTTGACTTCAACATCGATAGTATACGTGAGTAACGAGTTATAATGTACAGTCGACAGCACATTAGACTATATACATTTTCGTTGCAAAGTCGCCCTTATCGCAACTAAGTAAGATACCACAGTGTTTACGTTGACGTCCATACTAGCTTTTGTCCGCAGCTTCGCTCGCGTTATACTTTGAACAAAATTGTGTACCAATTTTCAACGTGCGCACTGCGCAATTCGTTTAGTAGCTGTGATAGATCAGTCTGTGATGGTTGCCTTGTCTTTTATAATATTAATGTTTGTCAGTTGCTTGCGGTTCAAGTACAACAAGGCTGCAACGCCAGCTACAGTTTTGCTTTTTTTAAATGAAATTAGACGAGTATTTAGAGCTCACCAAGAATAGAAAAAACAAGAGAGAAAAAAGTGACTATCGTAAAAACAAAAATAAAAAGTAAGTTTCTCGCCAGCCAGGCGAGCGGCCAAGGAGTTTGGTCGCACTCGCACATAAGCGATCTTTAATTTTAATAGGCCGTTATTATTAGACAGACCTGTACACTGCAAAATAGTCTAATGCCCGTTTTCACCATCAATCCTGTCAAATCTCAAACACATAACCAGAATTTTATTTTCATAGGGGTCACTTAAAAATTAGGTATTGATGGTGAAAACGGGCATAAGTAAAAGGAATGACAAAATGTATTTGCACACCTGCATGCAGGTTGAATACTTTGTACTCACATTTTTTGTAAGAACTTTATAACCTGTATTCTGGCAAATAACCGCTTCTTATTCTAATTTATTTTGATAATCCGCAAGTGTGTAAGTTCAACATTTATATATTCCGTAGTATGCCTGGCGGATTCGGTGCTAGCGTTCCACCGGCACGGCGTGCAAGGCCGGTCGTTACGTCACGCTGACGTCACGCAGGAGATAACGGACCACTCGCGAGCGTATCGCCTGCTGGGGCACGACAAGTGAGTATATGAATGAGTTAACGAACTATAGTCTGGTCTGTGAGCACGTAGAATTTTGTACAATGACCCCAAGCTACCCATCCTTATCGCTCGCGCGTAATTATATTGCTGTCGCGACTGTGCGACGGGCGCCCGCAGTGAGTGTGCGAGCGCGACAGCAACATAATTACGCGCGAGCGATAAGGATGGGTAGCTTGGGGTCATTGGACAAAATCCACCGGCACGGCGTGCAAGGCCGGTCGTTACGTCACGCTGACGTCACGCAGGAGATAACGGACCACTCGCGAGCGTATCGTCTGCTGGGGCACGACAAGTGAGTATACAGGGTGTCCCATAAAGATTGTGCCAAACTTAAGAAGATACATACAGGGTGTAATTTTTAGCAGACTTTAGTTGGTTCGATTCCCGGGTGTGGAAAGCAAAGTTTTGGAAATCTTTATATGCAGTTCTATTTCTTTTCAAAAATAAAGTAACGTTTTCTTTGAGAAAAAATTTCTATCTACAATATTAAGAGTACTTTCCCTCCAGGTGGCATTACAAAATTCCACCCTGTATACTGATGGATGATCATTTAAAAGAATAACTTTAAAAGTATCACCGGCCGATGGGGCAGCAAGGTTCTGGAATGGAGGCCGCGTACCGGAAAAAGCAGCGTGGGACGTCCACCTACAAGGTGGACCGACGACATCGTAAAGGTAGCAGGGAAGCGCTGGACGCAGGCCGCTACCAATCGATAAACATGGAAAGCATTGGGGGAGGCCTATTTTCAGCAGTGGACGACCTATGGCTGAAATGATGATGATGAAAAGTATCACCGTTTCAGAGATATGATTCTTTTTTCACATTTTTAATAATTGACTCACTCGATCGACAACTAATCGAATGAAAATGTGAACATCCGGCCCGTCATCCATCTGACCAGTGCGGGGAGTGTAGACAAAATCCTCTATTTGCCTCTGGTAAATTAGTAGAGATGTTATGGATCTGTAGTTTCGGTTATGGGTACGGTTACGGATATAGGATTAATATTATACCGGTTTCGGTTACGGTTACGGATATCTGTGCTTTAGAATGCAATTTGCAATAGTTGTCTAACACGGTTCATTCATGGCCGCACTCTTTACATCGAGTAAAAAGTTTATTTATTAATATAAATTTATACTAGATGCCATTATAAAGGTAAATCAGGCTCTTATGCCTTTACACATAATGCTATACAAAAAACAATTTAAACTGCCTACATTCGAAACTATCCGAAACTTTTGAATCGGTTACGGTTCCGGATATCCATAACATCTCTGTAAATTAGAGAGGGACGTTAAACACAGGAGATTAATGCCCGTTTTCACCATCAATCCCTAATTTTTAAGTGACCCCTGTGAAAACAAAATTACTCTTATGTGTATGTGACCATATGGGTCACTTAAAAATTAGGAAATGATGTCGAAAATGGGCATAAATGACCTTATGATAATTATAATAATAACCCTTTGTTACAGAGTGGTGGTGTTGGAGTCGCATATTCTCCAAAACAACACGCTGTCCAGCGAAGACGGTAACGACCTCTACATTCTAGCAGGACACGAAGCCTCCTATTGATTCTACAGTAGACTCACTTAGGGTAGTGGGAATACAGTAGCATTTTGAACCTTAACGACCTGTCTTAAGGTCGAAAAGTGTAGGAGAAAAAGGAGGTAAAAATGTACTGTAGAAAGTCTACAGATTGAGATCTTGGACTGTCATTTGACGTAGAAATGCCCGCAGTCCAAGCATAGACACGGAGTTATATTTTATCGCGAATTAATAAATGCTTAACGCGGATTCTGATAATAAAAACGTATGGTGTAGATTGTCTATGGATTATTGAAATCCAAAATGTAGGTTGTAGAGCTGGCACAAATTATTCAAAATTTGAATTTGGAATCGTGAAAAAACGAACGTAAGACGCACATTCGAATTTCAAAACGTTGAGACGTCTAGCGGATTTTTTTTGGAACTTAAACAGCGACAGTTGTGAAATCTGGCATAGACTAACGAAGTAATGCGGACTCGAGTAAGACTTCGTTCGTTTCATACTCGCCAGCTCTCTCAGACTAAAGTACCTAAATAAAAGTTATCGGTCAGTAAAAATAAATTTAATTATAATTACATGAGTGAGATATTAGGATTTAATCTTTAAACGTATGTCCCGTTCGGTGTCGTAAATTATAAATGATTTATACAGGGTGGCTAGTTCATCGTAGAATAACGTATGACGCTGATTTATTTCTTTGTGATTTAAAGTTTATAGTCTTTTTAGCTATTAGTCACCCTGTATATTTGACAGGCAAATAGCGCTCGAATTTGACATATTGGTGGATATTCGGTTGTGTGTTTTAACTACAGTTATCTCTTTTTGATCTCTGTAAGAAGAAAAGGACAACAACATAACATTTTGTCAGACAATTATTGGTACCTATGTGGAAACAAAAGAAGTATTTGCTTGGTGAGGAGAATATCTCAACCGAATATCCACCATTATTTAACCTAATTGAACTTTAAATTATCCACTAGCCTAACATAATAAAGTAACTTAGCGCATTACTATGAAACTTAAATATTTTTAAATCGTTAGTGAATAGGTTTTAATTTTTTCAAATCTTCCAGTGTTCTCATCACATTAATAATATGTTATTTTTAATAACTTTGAACCTTATTTGGTGCTAACTGTAATTGTATTGTCGTTAAAGTGACGTATACAGGCTGGTTAGGCGTTTTGTTTTTAGAATGAATCACATATGATTCATGACAATTGATTTCTTGTTTGTAGCAGAGAAAGGGTTAAATAAAATTTAGCTGTCGTTTAGGTGTTTATTGAAATCTTTTTTGGTATTTTATATCGTGAAATAAGTGGTGTAATGTACGGAATAGAAATATTTTCCCCGCCAATGTAATATTGATAACTTTAGAACATAGTAAAGTTTAGCCACCCTGTATAAGCTATATCCATTAACGTGAATGGAACATCACCTATTGAAATAACCGATAAGCAATCCATACATCACTGCCATTTTTAGATATTCATTCCAACGAAAATTTTTTATTAGAATATGCCTTTTAAAACGATGACAAATTAGAGATATGCGCAGCTTAAAATATATAAAAAATACGCGCACACGAAAAAATATGTTCCTCTAAATTTTTAGGGGGAACAAATCGATTATTTTGTATCTCTTTCTCTCTCTTGTACACATTGTCAGAGCGAGAGAGACGGATGTATCGTGCACGTGTCAATCGGTTATTAGTGACGTAGTTTTACACTAATTAACCCCTTTGCGTCGATTGCAATGAGTTATAAACAGGACCAAACTCGATTTTATTGATGTCAACAAATAAAAATGATTAGTTACTATTACGGTGTACAGTCAGCCTAAAATAGTTCGTGACATCCAAAGTAAACCAATAAGTTCGCAACACGTCTTTGTTACAATTAGAATAAAGTTGTGTTGTCATTTTTTCGGTCACTTGGATGTCACGAAATATTTGTCGCTGACTGTACGTCAGTAAGTCAGTTCCACAGATCATGTTAAATATTGAGCTTTATTCGCATGTAATAGAGTTCAATTTTTATCAATTGTAAACATACTGTAGTCCTAAAAACAATGTCAAATTAGCTTATCACGAATTTGTGGTATTACTGGACCAGATATTTTAATCCACTAATTTTATTCAACATCTAACTGACATTAATAATATGTTATTCGTATTTGGTAACGATATGCTGTGATCAGAGATTATATTTTAGAGGTTATTTTGATTTTTATTTATCAAAATTGGAGATTGGCAAATAAAAAAAAGACATAAAGATACTATGCACTCAGTGTTGCAGCGTTTAAAAATATGATTACTATGATATAAATAAACATACAATCTTATTCATTAATCAAGATATTAAGCAATTTGTCTTCACCCGAATAGGGTGGTTGCAACTTTGTCTCTTTTTCTTTTGCCAATCTCCACCTCTGTAAATTGTATATTTTGTGTTTCACACAAGTAGATCTTGATTTTATTTACATGCATTTCGATGTAGTTAACAATGTATTTATTAATAAATTAATATACCCTAATTATGCTGCCCCGTAGGACTTGCTACCGCTTTTTGCCTTACGAGGGCGGTGCAAATATAAAACCAAATAATTGTGATTGTTAATGAATTCGAAAGCGCTGGGTAGCAGGATTTATAAAAGACAATTTTTCGGTATATAACGAGTAGAAAACGTGAGAACTTTATAACAACTAAAAACTATATATAAAACGCTCGCTTTTGTGTATGTTTTGTAAATATTACAAATATTCCAATTAGTTATAGTCAATTGTATAATATCACTAGTATAGATGTAATTTTAATGTATTTAATTTTTTTTATGGCAACCCTGTGTTTCGGAGAGTTAGTGTTGCAAGGAAAGTGACGGACTGGCGATTTATTTATATTTTCCTGCCAATAATATTACCCTTATTATTTTTATTTCTGTAAATGTAGATTGAAATATTTTTCCAAAATGTCTTAATTGTAAAGATACTGTTATTCATATTTACTACGAGATTATGACAGATGTATGTATTTTGCTATTTTATGCCCGAATCTTGTTTAACTGAGTAGAAAATTAGTGACTGACTTGTTTGATTGTTCATTTTAAATCATCATCGCACGTGTAGTCTTGAAAATGCAAACAATANGCTGTCGTAGTTTTGTAATTGCTGAAGCCATGGCCATCAGTATCTTCAGGGACAAATGAAAATATGCGAACATCAATCAAACAGGGGCGTATAGCTACTAAGGACCCCACAAGCTCAGAGGGCCCCCGAATCCTTACCAGAAAATCTCAATTGAACTAAACTTTGGAAATTTCTCCCATTTTCAAAATAAACAGAGAGGAATTCGAAAGCTGTATCAGGAGTAGGTAAGTAGTTAAGCTTAATGTCAATTCTGTCAGGTAACAGCACTTTTTTTTATTGGCCGACACTTTTTATTTTGAACAAAAAATTTATGAATAGTCGATGACTTTTAGATCTCAAATACTCGACGCACAGTGGTGCTACAGCTTTGGTGCCATAGTAACAAATGCTAAGGCGGACGTGTTCTATCAGAATACAGCACTTTTATTTTTTGGCCGGCACTTTTGATTTTGGACCAAAATGGATGATGTCCTTTGATAAAACCTAACCAGTTTAGATTGCAGTGGGGCCCCATTTTTTTATTTGCCCCAGGGCCCTTGGTTACCTAGCTACGCCACTGCAATCAAACCTTTGTTTTGTCACTTGTCATCCGCTTTGCACTGGAGTGAAGTCGAGCCTTAACTACGAACTCCTCCCATGTTTTTCTGATTAATTTCGTTGCGGGTCCAATGACAGTTAACTTTCCCCAGGGACAATTTGACCTTCACTAGTTGAGTTTTTATTGGCGGTCAAGCGTAGATCCTGGCTGCACAGGAGTTGCAGCGGTGGGAACGAGAGGCAGGCCTCATAAAGGTAGTAGGATGACGGTGGATGCAGGCCGCTACCTACCGGGCGATGTGGAAACCTTAACCGCCTCTGTGGTCTAGTGGTAAGACCACCTGCTTCAGACGCAGAGGTCCCGGGTTCGATTCCCAGTGGGGGCAGATTTTTCTGTTCGGTTTGGTTGGTGGTAGGGCTTGTTGTAAGTCCGCCTGGCTTGCTACCACCATCTTAACTATTAAGTCTGTCGCCATAACAACAATGTTAACAGCATTGTTGTGTTCCGGCAGTTAGAGGTAAGATAGCCAGTTCCTCCGTGGTTGAGGATTCCGTGTGAAGCTCGCTTCCACCTTCAGCCTGATCGTCACTTACCATCAGGTGAGATACAGGCCAAGAGCTTCCTCGTTGTGGATAAAAAAAATAAAAAAATCATTGGGGGAAACCTATGTTCAGCAGTGGACGTCTTGTGGCTGAAATGATGATTATGAACATCAGGCCTTCTCAAACTGTCTGGCCAGCGTGGGGAGTGTAGGCCAACTCCTCCATTTGCCTCTGGTAAATTGGAGAGGGTCGTGCACCTGCATTGGAGACTAAATGACCTGATGATCAGTAAAGGTAGAAATTATGAAATACCTACTTTATTTGGAGAATCAAGAATGCATTCAATTAATCATCANTACAGTGTGAGTCACGTTAAAGTGTACATATGAAAATAGATGAAACTAGACTTATTTTTATCGACAAAAAAGAGGTCAAAAATTTTTTGAGATTTTTTTTTAATTTTTTATAGAATTTTTTTTCTTCAAATTACTTATTGTAAAGAAAACGTAATAACTTTTAAACTAAGCGGTATATCCTGATAAAATAAAAACAGTAATAATGCTAAATAACAGGCGATACTAAAATAATACATAAAATACACAAAAAATGCCAACAAATAATAAAAAATGATACTTTTTGAAAAAAATCTGCTTAAAAATTCGTGTTTTTTTGGTTATTTTATAAATTTCTCAAAAAAATGCCCCTATAACAGGTGGTTTTTATTACTTTGTATTATTTTCTATCGTATTATCTTTGTAAAACCAAAAATCGCATGTCTCTATCCCTATCACAACATTTGCTATGATCGTTTGAACAAAGGCCTGCCACAACATTATTCTCCGCCACAGGTAGAGACAATTTTAATTTTAACTAAAATGCTTATTTTACTTCGAAATCTTTTGTTTTTATTTGAAATCTAACTTGTCTTTATCAAAATTACAAATCTAGAGCCATTTTCAGTTTTGTTGTAAACGAAGCGTTGAATGGCGCGCCCGGAGAGGCTTAGTTCAAACGATCATTGCAAACGTTGTGATAGGGATAGAGACATGCGATTGTTCGTTTTACGAAGGTAATACGATAGAAAATAATACAAAGTAATAAAAACTACCGGTTATAGGGGCATTTTTTGGAGAAATTTATCAAATAACCAAAAAAACATGAATTTTTAAGCGGATTTTTTTCAAAAAGTATATTTTTTTTATTATTTGTTGGCCTTTTTTGTGTATTTTATGTATTTTTTTAGTATTGCCTGTTATTTAGCATTATTACTGTTTTTATTTTATCAGGATATACCGCTTAGTTTAAAAGTTATTACGTTTTCTTTACAATAAGTAATTGGAAGAAAAAAAATTCTATAAAAAAATAAAAAAAAATCTCAAAAATTTTTTGACCTCTTTTTTGTCGATAAAAATAGGTCTAGTTTAATCTATTTTCATATGTACACTTTAACGTGACTCACACTGTATAGGTTGGTAATTTTAAACAAACAAATGAAATAAGATTTTTTTTATACTAATGCTTTTTAAAACTTATTATGAATTATTTTCAGAGCATTGTAAAAGTTACTCATTTTCTGCTCAGTTTACCCGCATTTTTGTTATCATCGACGGAATGTGTCTCGCTTTAAAATCCTGTTTATTTATGAATTTCCCCACAATAAACATTTTATTTTGTACAAATTTTGTTTTTATTATTTTTTCCTAATTTTGTTTTTTTTTAAGTTTTCATAGAATTTTTTTGTCATTACAATACTGAATACCAGTCGAGATGGTCCAGTTTTTTACTGACTTCAAAAAAGGAAGATGTTCTCAATTGTATGTTTTTTACTTATCTTTAATATCTTTTTCTTGAGCAGCCTTCGATTTCACCTTCAATATTGCCAAAAGAGCTATTGTTTAAGAACACGGACTGAAAATGGCTGTAAAAATAATTGTATCAGATCCAGTAATGTTAAATTGTGTAGTTCCCGGAGTAGTGTAGGTGTATTTGTAGATATAAAAGTATATGAACTTCTATAATCGTAGGTTTAAAAGGATTGAACACCATGATTATTTAACTTTACAATTCTGCTGTTTTTTAGTGATATTTGTGGAAATGTATTGAGTACCTCATTAAGTGACAATATAGTAGTTTATTTGTAGGATTTTTTAATCAAGAGTTTTAGGACGTGTGTTTTTTTTTTAAAGGTAAGGCGACTCGTTTTTCGAAAGACCAGGGAAGGTTGTATTGAATGGAGACTTGATTTGGATTTTCAATCATGAGCAGTGGACAATTTTAAGATGCAAGTTGGAACATAAATAGTTTGGTCATATAAACTTAACAGTAAAATAAGATGGTCAATTTCTCATGTACNGGCTGTACTTGGGGACTTAGAATCTTCCTGACTTTTTAACAAAAGGCGACATTGCCGTCTTTCTGTCAGTCGCTGGTGAGCCCTACCCTGTATAGATTGAGTGATGTCATGACATGAGTTTGAAAAACTTAAATGCAGAATTGTAAAGTTAATCGAATATCTATCCTAGCTCTAGTGATTAAATTTTAAGGGTCATTCAATTATACTTTAAAATCTTTGCATAGTACGTTACATATTATTTATTAAAAAAAAATATAAAAAAGAACTCTCATGTACCTATTCTATGTAGTTGCGTACAGTCAGCGTCAAATAGTTCATGACACCCAAAGTGGCCAAAAAGTTGCAACGCAACCTTATTCCAACTGCAATAAAGACGTGTTGCGAACTTTTTGGCTATTATGGGTGTCACGAACTTTTTGACGCTGACTGCTGCACATGAAATTGGTTTTATTTACAGGCCAATTTTTTTTAAAACAATTTACCTACGAGGTAAAGTAGGTTAAGCATAGAATTTAAAGAATATTTGAATGATTGCAAAATTTTGATTAAGTCATTTTAAGGCTCTTTATATTTAAAACAATATTCAAAGTCTGGCGTCTAAAGTCTATTAAAAGTGCAATATAAAAAATGAATGTTGAATGAAATTATAGCATAAAATGCTTGT